TAGCCCAGAGTACACACTATTTAAAAATGTACATATACAGGTAAACTGTCTGTGGAAGTTAGAAACATTCTTTTTATTTTATCACACAAATATTCTAAAAGTATTCAAACCAATATAACTTAAAACAAACATTTCATTCATTTAAATTTCACGAACTTAACATGACGGTAAAATGTGTAAAGAATACTGGGCAGGTGTCCAAGTCCAGATTAGTACAATAAATTTAAGTCTTTTGAATTTCAGGCTGACCTCAAGTAAACATAAGAATTTGGAAAGAGACTATGTACTTGGCATGCATTATAACACTAGACGCTCAATAGAACGCGGACGTTCTGAATAGCTCTTGAACCAGCCACTTTTACCTTACTTTGAATAACAAATTATTTGCCCTCTAAAATTGATAATTGTCATTAAAAAATTCCTTATGGACTAAAACAAACACTTAAACAAAAGACACTCTGCATAAGGCAATCATTTTATCCATAAACTACCACCAGCCAGTGTTTGTTCGAGGGATCCATATCTATGAACCAAAGAAGGGCTGAAAGGGGCTGCTCTTGCTTGTTAACAAGAGATGAACAATCAATTGGTTAATGAGGAAATTCACCCAATGTAAACGACATGTTCAGACACCATGGTCATCTTTTCTAGTAAAAAAAAATCTCTGAATGATCCAAAAGAAATGTTTCTCTTGTTACGTAATTTTACTTTTTACGAAAAATTTAGGGGGGATGCTAAGTAATGTACATCAAACAGATGTGCTGGAAGAAGGATGATAAAATTAATGGAAGTTGCAGGTCTTGTATACATCCCAACTACTAAATGATCACAAAAATTATTACAGAAAACACTATTCAGAATCATCTAAGCTATCAGAATATTAGTGCCAGAACCAAGTTTCAGCATGATTTTCCCTGGTTTTCTTTCATAGACAATTACATATGTAACATCAAATAACATTCCAGACTGAACTTTCCCATTTCAATGATTTGCTTTTAAATTTCATCTACACTTAGGTAACAAAGATTACACAGGCCATATTACATCAAAATGAAATAGTCTATTTCAGAGAGACAAGGTCTCTCACACGTACCAAATGAATGTTCTGAAAGATGAAATGGTAAAATTTATCATGATCATGCATAATTTCCTGTGACAATTTATACATATTGGCAGTTAATATGCTTACTAAGAGAAAAATACATGCAGGTTTGGTCCATGAGTAAGAGGTAAAAAGCTTGCTAATGCTATAAAATTTTGAACTTGTCCATGTTTTGAAAAAAAAAAAAAAAAGTCCATATATTACAGTTATAAAATGCAACATTCATGCCAGTATGAACCAAACTTTGTAACACTTATTAAACTAATACATAGAACTTATCAATTATAATGCTCCTCTGATGTCAGAATAAAAGATACAGTAAAACTTGTTTAGTATGAACACGGATATTGTGAATTTACGGATATAGCGAAGTTATCTTGGATCCCCAGATATATAAATTTAACGAATTCCTTATACGGATATAATAAATTACGGATATAACGAAATGATAATTTCATAGATCCCAGTGACTCCGTTATAACTGATTTTTGCTGTATGAAGTGATAATTTTGAAATAGTGTTATGAATTTTAACAACAGAAAGTTCTGATCATTCCAAAGTCTGAAAGATACAAACTTGAAAGTGTTCTGATCATTCTAAAGTCTGAAAGCTACCAAACTTGAAAGTGATTTCTCTATGTTCATCAATGAGGTTACATATGATAATTTTCTATCTTCTAATTATAACATGATTGAATATTGAATTCCCCAATAGTTAAGGAATATTTGATAAAATTCATCTCTTGCGTTTCTTTGGATAAATGGTTTCCTCTTGAAGAAGGAACCGTTGCGTGAACTTTTAGCTGGCAAACTTTTTTTATAGCTCCAATCAGTACAATAGTTTTGGTGTTGAATGCATTTGAACAATGCACCGTGTATACATACAGGCTATGTGAATATTTATAAATTTAATAATCTTAAGGTCTTATGTAGGCAGACTGTTCAAATAATATTAGGCGTTCCTAGCAGGTTATGAAATAAGTTTTATTGTGAGGAGATTTAAAACAACTCCTGTTCTCCTTCCTTCCTTGGTACCTACTTACATTGCAATAAAATCCGGCAAAGATGGATTGACAAGTTTATTGGGAGGAAAAATCTCAAAATGTGTATCAGTCTAACTTAATCATCAGAGTTAAATTAAATTGATCTTCCAAATCAATCAAGCAGAGTGAATCTCTGTGTGATTGAACCTCACTTTATTTCTTTAAGCCTGGACAAATTTTAATCAAAAAGTGAATGATGATTTCACATTTTGTACTTCCAATCTGAAAATTTGACATCCAATAAAACCTCTGATGAAAATGATAAATGAGTTTAAATCCTTGATAATGAGGGCCATTTAATTAACTTTTCCCAGAACGCAACCAATTTACAAAGGAGAGGACATCGCAATGTTATTTCTTTAATAGTCAAGGTTTTGGCACTCTAACACCTGTACCTCTCCTGGTCTCTCCTCTGACGTAGAGACTAAACACTGAAGACAGATTGGCTACTTAATCATAATACTGCAGAATGTTGAACCCTATTATCAAACAAGAAAACAACTGAAAAGTTTGCCATGTGCTTATATATGTGAACTTTTTTTTTCCTTCAAGAGTCTGCATACTTGATTAGTTCTAAGCATTAAACTCAACTGCAATTTTTCATGACCTCTCCTAATGGGTGCAAGCATATAACTGAATGTTTCTTTACATTAAAAGACTTGACATGGTACCACTAATGGAATAATAAGCACACATTAATGCAGTTTCTATCTAGGAATTACCAATAAAACTTGTTCAAATCCCCCATTTATACCCTAGGTCTAAGGAATTTGCAAATGTTAGGGCAAAAGTTTTAAACTATTATGTGCGAAACTTTTGTAGATTACCTTTTAAAGACATACTAAACCCTTGCCTCACATTAAAATTTCATGGCAAAAGAGTAGAAAAGTCTAGTATAATTTGAGAAAAAAACTTAAGCATCAGATTCAGAAATGTCAAATTGTACATTCCCTCACTCAATCATATGACTATTTATTTAAAAAGATTTTTTTTTTGGGGGGGGGGGGGGGGGGGGTATATTGTCTGTTAACGAGCAAACTTGACCATTTCACTAATACTTCTGATAGTCTAAAAATGTTTATTAAAAAGATTTAGTCTTGATGTTCCAAAAAATAACATTTTTCAATCTTCCAAAGCTTGTGTGACTGGATTGGTGATCTAGGTTATCCTTTACTGCGAAAAAGTGAAAGGGTATGTGTACACAATGAAATTTACTTACAGGGCTTATGTCAAATACTTCATAATACACAATTTACAAATCTCTACTTCACTTTTTCTTCATCTGAAATTCTATGCTTATATTATAAATGTTTTTATGTCTACCTAGGCTTTAAAATAATCCAGAATAGACAATCCTTTTAAAATTTAATGATATATATATGGCATATAAAAATTATGCATAAATTATCCTTTTACTATACTCCATACATATATAAACTGGAGATTTCTGCTGTCTGTCCATCTGTCTGTTCATTTGTTTGAAATATGGTAGACAAATTCATGTCTTCCATGAAACATGGTTCCTTGCTTTCTAACCTTGAGTTTAGGTCATGATATCTCAATTTGTCAAGGTCATTCAAGTTATAGACTGAAATATTTGTTTAAGAATTACCACAATTAAAACAGATTAAAATGACTTGAACATTTGAAAATCTTGCATTTTAAAGGTGTCACATATTGTACATTGCAGTGCATGCAATCCATCCCCCACCACCATCCTTTAAATTCTTGGGTAGGGTTGAGGGGTTCACAAAACTCTTTTTTTTTTGTAGTATATACATAATTCACAATATGAGTATAAAAAACTTTTTAATGGTTTAAAATACTGTGCATGTGAAACTAAAGGTATGCACTTCGGCAAACAACAGTGTCCTTCAATGTTTACAATTAAATCTTAAGTTTTTCTTTCCAGCAACATCTTTTATTACCTAACCAATAAATTGGCTACTGTACTGGAGTTTTTTGTGGCTTTCTTTCCACTAATAAACTGATATTTTATTTTTAATTTTAGCAACAACCTTTGGTGAACAAGTTGATTTGTATTCATACTGTATAGAATACTAAGGCCACAAAAATAATAGTCTTGTTTCCTGCTACCAGCCTGAAAAAAATAGGGTAGGTAGGTAGGAAAATTATTTTATTTTTTTCCAATGGTACTTGTTGGATATGAACTATTACAAAACCAAATTAAACATGTCATAGGTCAATATTATTGTTTAAAATTAAATTTCATTTCTTTTGATGCACAACTCAAGTAGTGTTTTATGAATTAAAGTCCATATTTAACTTATATTTCATGAAACACCACTTGAATATATATATTTTTTCACTTTTGGATCATGAAATTTCCAATTTTCCACCCAAAACTAAATAAAAACTTTAAGGTCGGGTGCAAAAAAATAGGGTAGGTCAGGTAGCAGGAAACAAGACTATTTCTATTTTTGGCCTAATCACCCAAAAGATAAAAACCTTCTTTGGGATCAGTCTCACAAATTAAAGGGTTACAAAAAACAAACTTGCCAAATATTGTTGCATTCAGCACTGTTCAATGTTTGTTTTAAAAATACATCAAAAAACATATTTTCCCCATATTTAGATAATTAGATCCTATTGGAAAATAAAATCTCAAACAGAATATCTAATCTAGCTTGAGCCCAATCTTTTGAATAATCTTTAACATGTTTAAATAATGAAGTATTCTTAGATAAGACTGAAATATAATTAAGAAATTAAATGAATGGCTTTCAACATGTTCAAAGTATCATTTCTTTTCCAATAAACTGCAAGGCTTCCTTCATTTGGAAGTAAAATAGTAAATAAAGTAATACATTGCTTTTCATACAATTTTCTACTTACTTGTTGACTTCTCTTCTCTCTTGCATCTCTCTCATCTTCCCAAGGAAAGTTGCTTCTCATGCTTGCACTTTTGAATCGCCTGCTTGGGCCAGGGGTTCCATTCTCAATGGTGCTGACTGCTGGTGTTGATCTAGCTGATGAAGTTACTGATTCTATCTCCAGCGTATCCGACCTAGAAATGTGCCTTGCTGATCCGCTATTTCCAACAGCTAGGACCCAGTCTACATCAGCTCCATGGACATGGTTTCCTGTGCGACTTTGTGCTGAGGACGGTATAGGCATTGCATATTCCACTAATCCTTCATGATTCAGTTTGGGGAGCTGGCGTCTTGCTAAGCGAGCCTGGACTGCTGCCATCACCCCTTCCCCCTCCGCGCTCAGTTCCACCCCATCTACTGCATGGACCAGGGGTTGCAGACGACCCTGTCCCATGGCCTGGGCTATCACAGATAAGCATTCTAATGTTGCCTGTCTCACTTGCCTCTTGTTGTCACAAAGGGCTGGTGCTACTACTTGGCAAATTCTGGGAAGATCAAAGTCATAGCTGGGAAAAGTGAGGAGGGCTGCTATAATAATGTTCACAGTGTCAAGTCTTACTCTGGAATTTTTATGATGGATGTTATCAAATATCACAGTTAGTACAGGTTTGGGCTGATAGCTTTGCATCATTTTAATTGCAACTCTCATCACAGCCTGACGAACAACAATTTTGTTATCACCCATGCGCTTTGCCAAAGTTGAAGACAATGGTTTCAGGTACTGCTTCACATTTTGTCCCAACTTTTCAACTAAAATATTAAGAATTTCTAACGTCACTGTTGTAATTTTGAAGTTTGAGTCATCAAGCAAATTGCTTAAAAAACTTATGAAAGGCATCATATGTGGCAAAAGATTGCTTGTCACATCTGTCGATTGCAAGTCCTTCACCAAATTCTTTAGCTCCTCTACCCCTTGAGCACGCAGTTTAAAATTTTCCTGATCACCGATCTGCTTCATAACATGACTAGGGATGATGCCAAACTCAAACGAATCCACATACTGAGCTCGACTTGTGTTGGGAGGTCCATTCATCATTGGAGGACTTTGATCGACAACCTTTGGAGACTTTGAAAATGGAGGTTTTGAATTGCGGGGAGTACTTGCAGTTGAGCTATAACCTTCAGAAAAATCCACTTCCATCCCAGTTAGTTGACAATAATACCGTCGTAGAGGAGTTGACAATTTCTGAATGTAAACACCAAACTCTCTCTCTCCCACAAGATTCTTGATTTTATCCATTGTGGTTAATGCACATTCACGGATATTGTCCTCCACTGAGTTGTCCAGGAGCTTCTTTGCCAACGACTGTGTGATTTCAAAGAAATTCTCTCTCTGGAACTCTGGAGTGAACAGCATTGGTAATGAAATGACAGTCTCCTTTCGAACACGAGGATCACCGTTTTCCAAACCATGTTGAACAATAGCTTTAAGCAACACCTGCACATTATTTGTGTACTTCATATACACATGCAAAGTCTGTATCACAGCTCTTCTCACAGTGATTTTACTTTCTCCTATGTTTGGAATCAGTTTGCCAAGAATGACATTCATGCAAGTATCTAGGTCATCTCCAAACTGGGGTATTACTTCATTGATCAGCTGGATGCATTTCAGTCTGACGTCCCAATTTGTGTCGGATAAAGCAAGTGATAGTCCATTGAAAATCGCTTTTGGGTCATTGTAGGGAAGTCTGCCACCATTTCTCCGGACTGTAATAAGCAATTGCTCGAGTATTTCAACTCGTCTTTTGAAGCTCTCTTCTCTAAGCTGGTTGAGAACTTCATTCTGTTCCATAGTCCAGACCCCTGGTTGGTTTGATTCTAAATAAGAGGCATTATTAAATTCATGGACCGGGAATTTGGTAACGTGGGCCTTGGCGACTTTGCCAGCCATCTAACCTGTAACACTTCTAAAATTGTATGGTAAATAACGTCGTAAAACAAGTCTGCTTCTTTCAAGACACTGTAGTGTCCACCAAATCCCACGAAAAAGACATTATCGCATCCAAACCCTCCGCAATGCACTGACAGAAGTCATTTTATCCTTCACATTCTTCGATAGCAGTCCAAGATGGCCGAGTTCTTCACAACAACACAAACTAATGGAATCACGTGATTAGAATAACTTGCCCGTATGACAATGTTAAAAAGAAACATAGGTGCGGATCAATATATTTTGCATATTTTACGTCGGGAAAAAATGTTTTCAGAGGCATGCATTTATATCATTATTTTAAAATATCATTCTATGTTTTCTATTTTTCTTCAATGTTTGCACGTCCTTTCACAAATAATTACACCTATAATTATCTAATTAAAATCTAGCTAATCAACTGTTAATTGAATAGTTTAATATTATACATTCAGTAAATTCTAATTAATATAATCAATGCATGCATCGACAAGATTTTGATTACCCTGTTTAATATAAGTTCTCACTCATAAACCTTTAATTAATTTTGCGTATTGGGATCTTTGGAAGAAATTAATCATGTTAATTAGAGATTAAACATGATATTATTTTTTTCTCTTTGGTTACGGTCTTCTATGGTGAAAAATAAAACGGGGGGGGGGGGAGGGGGCTCAGAGGAAAAAAATTAACTCACCCCAAAATTTGGGTTTTATTATGGAAAGAAATAGGAAGTCATCCATACTCGAGAATCCTATTCTGTTTGGGAGGAGGGGGGTGTTAAGGTTCGAACTTCTTTCAGTATCAGTTTTCCCTATAATACAGTATACTATACTTTGTACATCATGTAATTGACCATGCTACCAAAAAGGGCTAAAATACGCTTTGCCTGCGGCCCAGTGCCCAACCCCTTTCACTTTTATTTGTGTATAAAAGTTTGTTTCATAAAAAAGGGGGGATCGGCCTTTCTGTGAAAATTTTCATTAGTTCAAAGTTTTGTCTGGAAAATGATGGAGAGGGAGGCAGCAGATTGAAAGAACCGTGTGTGTTAACTGTAAACCGAATTTATAAATACTAGGTAGTGAGAATAATCCTGTCTATGCATGCTTTGTTTAATTAATAAAATTATTAAACGTATATATATTGAATTAACATTTGAATAACTAGATTTTAATTGAATAGTTCAAAATTAGATATTTTTCAGCGAATTTCCCACTTGTAGGTAATTTCATAAAAGAAACACAGATTATTCAAAAGTTGTCTTTTGAAAACCGTGGGGACCCCCTCCCCCCACCACCATCCCCGATACTGCTTAATTACCTGTGAGGCTGCGATTTACGGTAATGGTGGTTACAATACTGATCGTTCCCTGTTTATGCACATCATAGCAATCACAGCAAATTGAATTGGAATGAAAAAAATCTCAGAAGCAAAGAAAAGTATCTTTACTTCCAGTATTTTTACAACTTTTTTTATGTGCTCGTAATCGAAGATATGGGGACATGTCGTTTGTTTGGTTGGTTGGTTAGTGTTTTTTTTTTTAGGTTGTGTGTGGGGTTTTTTTTTTGGCTGTGTCCGCCGGATCTATTTCTTTCATACTTCACATGTGTATTAATTTTGACAAGAGCATTCAATGGGTATCATCATTTTATTTTACCTAACCATTGGAGTTTAGCCCACTTGCAAAATTTTACCAGACTTTAATCTAGGTCACAACTTTTGAACAATTAGGGCTAGGACTTTCATACTTCAATAACTTTTGAACAGTTGGGGCTAGGGCTTTCAATTGTGTATTTCTAGTGACAATACGTTTCCTTGATACCAACAGAGTTGACCTATTGGACTTGGAATTTGACTGCTGGTACTTTTGAAAAACTTTAACCTTGGTCATAACTAAAGAATACTTGATGATAAGGCTTTCACATTTTGCAGATCCTTTTGACAAGACACTCTACTTGGAGTTTGATTTTTGTTTTTAATAGGAATTTTAACCTTTGTGAATGTCATAAGGTGCCAATGGGAACACATTTTTTAAAATACTATCACATCTTGTTAAAAAAAAAGAGATACACCCTCTCTAAAGAGTGTATTTTATTTCAAAAAGGGGGAGGCAAATAGTCACAAAGAGACCATTGGATGGACAGAACTGCATAAAATGTGTACATGTATTAACATTACAAAATCAAATGTCATTATTAGACTGCCTACACCATATATTATTGAAATTACTCTAACCCCTTGCACAGTTCTCTCACAAGCTAATCCACCTAGCTGAAGTTCTGTCCATTACAGTCTGATTGTCTGTAAGCCCTGGTGTAAAAAAAAATTATAAGAAATCAGAACCATTCCATTTTAATAGGTTGCCATAACTATTTCATGAATTTCAATTTATAAAACCTTTTCTTATTTTTCATTTTTCCATTCCCTACTCCAACAAAGAATCAGGTAACATGGTATATTTAATAGTCTAAAAACAAGCAGAGGAATAATAAAACATGTGCAAAGGGTCCATTTCAACAAACTTCTCTTGCATTTCATCTCCATTAATCAAAATATATTAATTTTAAAGTGTAGTTTTCATAGGAGTGATTGTTTGTGTTAAAATAAAGACACTTTGGATTCACATCAATAAGAAGAAATTGTTTTAACTTTACTGCAGTTTATTGAAAACAACACATATCAGTTGAACCCAAAGAAGCTGTTAAGCCTGTTGTTTAGTCTTTCCCACCAACAGCTGCCTTCAACAGTAGGTGGGTTAACTGAATGTTCTAAGTTACTATGACTAGATATTGAATCTTGATGACTGGAGTCTTTTACTCTGAAATAGGAGGTAAAAATATCCCTACACACTGGACACTTGTCCAGTTTATTTACACATTGACTACACACACATCCGTGTCGACAAGGGAGAAGGACAATGGTCATTTCTGCATCCTGACACACACAGCAAGTGTCAAAAACAATATGGCTTCTTAGTCTTTCTTCTTCATCATCAATACCAGGATGCTGCTGGAATTCAGAATCACTGTAACAATTTCTTGTATCTGTCTCTGTACTTGTGTTTTCAGTGGATATGTAAAAAGGCTACAAAACAAATTACAAAAACTACTAATTAATTCTTATATGCTTCAATACAATGAAACAGTATTCTTGTACTTTTTTTAGATACAAAAATGTGTGAACTTGGAGAACATGATTAAGAGTTTCTTGTTGTAAAAATGATATTATTAAGTTTCATATTTAGTCATACAATGTATTAATGTTGGTCAAATGACCATATACAAAAACTTACATTGAGAGTGGTAATTTTGTTGTCAGTGGTGATCAGATACTGGTGTAAAACTTGAGAATCTAGCTGAACTTGTGGATCCTTAATGTGCAAGACAGACAGCATAACAACCTAAAATTATAAAGATTAAGACAATTATTTACTGAAGATCATTAAATTTTCATGACACCTTATTTTTGCGATATTGTAATTAATTCTTTATTAAGTGCTGTATATAATCCATATATTAATAATATTAATATTTACAAGTTAGAATGAAATTTTCGCAAGCACACTGTCACCTATTTACTAGACAGTAAATAAAATAAAAAGCAATATACAGTATAATATGTGTCCATGGAACACAAATGGTCTTACTATTTCATGCCTCCAAGGGTCATAATTCAGATATAAATAGACCAATAAAATTTACCTCAGTAGATATTTTTTGTTCATTTTGCATGTAAAAAGGTAATTTTATATTTTTTCTCATTTTCATGGATATCACTTAATAAATCCATAGGCATTTAACAGAACCTACGGCCAAAGGGTCATAACTCTAGCAAATAAAAATTTTGAAATTTAATCAAATTCAAATTTTCTCCTTCATTTTTTTCTTCTTAATCAACTAAGAACTTGCACAAGTCAATATTCAGCAAAGCATGTTAATCTTGTATATTTAAAATTTATTTTTAAAAACTGAAAGATGAAAGATGGCACTATGGCAGATTTATAAAGGATTGATTTAAACAACTTCTGGTTCTTAATGCTTGCACTTGAAAAGCACTTCTAGTCTAAGAGCAAGGGTTGAGTCCCTGACATAACATACATAGACCTTTTTATCCAAACTAATTTTTCAATCTCACAGACTTCAACGAACAAATATGGATGCAAGTGTTTCAGTAAGATATTAAAATTGAAGTCCTGTGACCTGGAGTTATTGAGAACATCCAATGTCTTTCCTTATCCAAGATTAAAGTTTCTGAGGCACTGTAATGAATAAGATAAAGATTGGGTTTTCAAATGAGTCATCCATAATATTTAGTCTGATGACAGATTACCTGTTCATAATACACTTGCAGTACCTAGTTGATTAAGGAACAATCTTCATAATATTAGATGTTCAAAATCCGCTACCGCTTCTCAAAGCGATAGCAGATTCAGAATAATATCTAATTTAAGAAATAAACTAGAACTGATTAGAGTTGGACAAGACTTATCTATAAACTACCTTGCAAACAAATGTATGTATTTCATAGTTGCAGTGTACCTTTTTTGTAAATACATGTATGAGATCAACATATCAAAACAGTATCAACTAAACACAATTGGCTAAAAAGTAGTTTAACATGCAGCAGTGTTGTAATCTCACTAGGTTGTTATATGACAGTGCATCATTTATATCAGCTCCATACTTACTATCTGTAATTCCTCTGCCACAGGCTTCTCTAGGGTACAAGCCACAACAACAGGGTAGGTATTTCTAGGAGAGGTTTTATCAGGATGTTTAACCCTGTCTGGTATTTCCATATGCCATTCTGAATCCTCACACTTTTGTGGCCTAATAAAAAAAAAACAAACAAGCACTTAAGTACCAGTAAATTAAGCAACTGGCATGTTATTAAAAGTAACCTTACAGTTATGTGGTCTTTGAAACTTAATGTCTGCAGAAAGTTACAAAAAAAAAATAGATCTATGAAAATATCTATTTTTTAGCAGTGCATGTACCTCTGTGAATAATGTGTGACTTCCACTTTCTTGTCACCAAGAAAGAGCTCTTCTTGAATTCTATAATGAAGAACCTCGCATGGGTGCTGGAGTTCCTTGTAAAATTCATCTATGTCTGCTCCCCAAAAGAGACTTATAAAACCAGGTTTTAGTAATGACACCTGTAGATTTAACCCATCTACAAAAAAGGAGATACAGACTTAAAATGATCATTTTTTCAAAATTATACGCCAATATTTGAACTAACAAATTATGATGACCTTGACCCTTGCTTTGACCTTAAATATAATGAAACAACCTATCAAAAAGACTGATGATTATGTATTGCTTATTGAGCAATAAAACATGTAAACTAAAAAATAAAATAATTAAAATAAAAAACCAATTAAAAAACACCCACATAATAGAAGTTAGAGATGAAATACCACACACAAAGACTGATGTTATATGGATTCCCCAAAATGTCACAAAGTTTTATATTAATAACAGAAATATTTTAATAGAAAATTACAGGGCTAATAGTAATACCTGATATGCAGCTCTTGTTTTGTTTTGAGAAAGCAATGTGGAATGGGTTAAACACTTCTCTCACAGAAACTTCCTGTGTCGATTTAACATGATGAACTGAATTGATGTTTTGTAGGAAGATTTCCTCCCAGTTAAACCTGAAACAATATCAAAATAACTAGATTCAGATTCTTCTTATTGGAAAAAAAAAAAAATTATTTTGAGTGTATTAGTTTAAGTGTTTTCCTATTTTGATAAGAAGTTAAAATTTAGAGATGGATACTACTAAATTACTTTCAAGAATTATGCAACTAAGCATTGTCTGATACGATAAAACATTAGGCATCAGAATCCGCATTTCATGATTTGCTAATTAAATCAGAAGGAACTAGAGGTACTGTGAGCAATGAGCTCACTAAATGATACCCCTCACCTCCCATATGGTTATAACTGATGACAAAGTCCATGTTTTGCTGTCGTCAGGAAACCCAAAATATGTGTCAGATCAAAAAGTAAAACAGGAGGTGCGCACACAATGGTAATATGTATTGGTAATAAAGATTCTGTGAAAGTTTCATTAAATTTCACTCAGTGGTATAAGAGGAGTTGTGGATAAGATTAAGAGATGGGTACCCTAAAGCGTAACAGACGGACGAACTTACAGACCGACGGACATACCGATTACAGTATACCCTCCCACTTTTCAAGCGGGGGGTATAATGAAATTATTTAAATTTGCTACATCATATTATCAGTTAATATTTTCAATTTACATTAGTTGTTATAATAAAAGTTGATGATTTACTGATTATACACACACATTAATGATTTTTCTAAAAGCCATTGATAAATTGGGATTAATTTTCAATTCATGTGTATGTATATCATGATTTAGCGAGTAACAGTGAATGAAATTTGGTCATGTTCTGATAACATACATATTGCATATATTGTGTACTCTTATAATAGTATGCCAAGGCCTCAACCTTTTCCTCCCCTTCTCAAATGGGCTAACACGTACAGTGCAAAAATTGAAAAATTTTATTTTGGCTATAAATATCATAAATCCGCATCAGGACACTTAAAAGGGAATAAGTTTTGGTTGACTTCACATATAATGTATTTTTATATGTGAAGTTCCTTAACTTCTTGAGGGATCAATCCCAAACTGTAGGGTTGCAGAAAAACTTGCTTACCAAAAGTTTTCCTTTTTAAGTGTTTTGACATATGTCAATCCATTAAAAATTTTCTTATATTACCTTTTGAGAAGTATCACAAAAGTGAATGTATTTTTATATGTGAAGTAGAGAACAGAGTGGATAAGATGCCCCTGTGATTAAGCTATCGTTTTCCCTAAACATATGTCAATCCATTAGAATTGTCTTATATTACCTTTTGAGAAGTATCACAAAAGTGAATACAATCAATATGCACAGGAGTATCTGTTCTCTGGTTGTACTGGTAATATCATTTTCCAACTCCATCCTTGATTCAATGTTTACAATTTACCGGAAATGCCGTCATGCTTATTTTGCAAGGACAATTTTCATTGGTTCAACGCAATTACTCTCTTTGTCCTGATTGGAAAATTTTCAGAAAAGAAGGAAGCCCATTGGCCAATCATAATAGAAGATGTCTTTTAGTCGAAGAGTGGTAGATAAGGGATGACAACGTTTTTAGTACAGACGACATACGGAGATGAAACTGGACATAAAATGTCACATTATAGAGAAATTGCGTATGATGCGCAAGAACAATGTTTTATGCGATTTGGAGGTGTTTTCTAGTGACGGTATTAAACAACGCGTTCATAGTTGTGTCTGGGTTGCTGCGTTTGAAGATTGTCGAACCCTCCTGTCCAATAAATACAAAGGATGTGAGAACAAGACATCAAAAATAGAATTACCAAACGTCAATGGGGATGTACTGTCAACAATCGTAGATTTCATATATGGTGAAGAAATTAATTCAATTCCAATCGGACTTGATGGTGCATTAAAACAGCTTGGGTTTCAAGGTTTCAGGTTTTATCTTGACAATGGTTTATTAGATTATTCATGTAACCAAGATAGTTCATTGTCAAGTGCAGAGCAACCAGCTGAACACACAGACACAAACTTGGACCTCTCTGCTTCGCCCAAAATTACAAGTTCAGCTGACGAGGTAAAGGTGGAAACTGATATAGTTGAAGACAATCCATCACTCTGCTCAGATACTCAAATCCAAGAAATTCCAGTCAGAGTTAAACATGAACCAGTAGAAATCTCAGAACCATTTAGTGATGAAAATGAAGAACTATTGCATAATATTAAAATTTATTCAAAACAAGAAGATGATGATGATCAAACAGTCACAGTTTGTGTTGAATATGAATGCACTGACAAAGATGAGGAAATGGATGCATCATTGGAAGACGTACAGGCTACCTGTCAACCAAGTCTGAGAACTGAAGATGAAACAAAAACTTCAGGAAACAAACATGAAAAAAATGAATCCTCAAAAAAAGCTTCACAGGACAATGCCCCTAATTTGGTGCCGAACACAGTGCATTCATCTGAATCATCCTCTGTAAGTGTTTCCAATAACTCTGGTTCTAGTCACTCCTCTAAAAATCCTCCTATTTTGCCAAAATTTTCTAGCAGTCAAGGGGATGTTGTTACTGTTGCCACTTTCATTAGCTTTGCTGAGTTGCAGAAAAAAGGAAAAAGTTGGAAAGTACAAGAAAGTCTTCTTCCTATTCCTATGTCGGGAAACTCCACAGAAGCTTTTAATAAACTTCCAATATTTCCACAAAGTTCACAAGTTAAATCTGTTGGAGAGAAAAGGGGACGTGGTAGACCAAAATCTTGTGATACTGACACTGACTATGACAAAATGCCAAAAATAAAAAAGACTTCTCCTGTGCAGGCAAGAAAGTGTGGGTCTTCAGCCAAAACTAAAAGTAAAGGAAAAATGAACACAGTAACTTTAGCATCAACAAGTACTGTTACCGATACGAGTATTAAATCCTCTCTCACAGAACCAGCTCAGAAGGGAAATTCATCAAATTTTACTTCAACTTGTGCCTCTCCTATACAACATCAAGTTCAACCTTTAACCAGTGCTACAAAGCAAAGCCCAGTTACAAGTGTACCACAAACTTTGATAACTACTGAACAGTCTAGAATAGCAATGCCAATAGGTTTACCATCTAATTCAGCTCAAATTGTAACGCAGGCTTTGATATCTACTGGACAATCTAAACTTGCAGTGCCAACAAGTTTACCATCTAGTTCAGCTCCAATTGTACCACAGGCTTTGATATCTACTGGACAGTCTAAAATAGCAATACCAACAAGTTTACCATCTAGTTCAGCAACAGTTACTATCAGGCCAGACCAGCAAAGATTCGGAACTGTGCATACCATGATTCCATGTGTAGATTATTTTGACTCTATAAACCTTCAAGTTGGCTGTATTGGTTCAGTAGCACCTAAAGTAAACCCCAGCATCTTTGTACAACCAGATCATGCTGCAAGTAAAACATTACAAATTAAAAGTTTGGCTAACCAAGTCCCAAATCAAGCAGTGATTGAAGAAACTATTCTAAATATTCCATCCAATAGTACATGTATAACTCATGGTGGTTCGCTCAAGCCAATGGTGTCAATTGTACCAACAGTAATCTCAAAATCACAGTCCAGTGTTTTGAAGACTGTGGAGAATGCAAAACTATGTAATTTACAGAAAAGAATGATAAAAAACATTTCTGCACCAACTCTTCCGCAGAATGTGCTAAGACTTCCACAGAGTATGCCAACTTTTTTACAGAGTACACCAACTTTTTTACAGAGTACATCGACCTTTCAACAGAGTATACCAGCTTTTCCACAGAGTATGCCAACTCTTTTACAGAGTACGCCAACTCTTCCACAGAGTATGCCAACTCTTTTACAAAGTACGCCAACTCTTTTACAGAGTACACCAACTTTTCAACAGACTATACCAGCTCTTCCACAGAGTACACCAACTCTTTTACAGAGTACGCCAACTCTTTTACAGAGTATGCCAGCTCTTCCACAGAATAGGCCAACTCCTTCACAGAGTATGCCAACAGTGAATGCACAGGGCGGTGTTGCAAAATACAGAGATATCAAACCAAAGATAAAAGAACCAGAAATGAAGACAACCAACAGAGAAAACCAAGTTACTGCTGAAAAACCAATGAGAAAACCTAGTAAACATACAAGGTCTTTACAAATAAAGAAGACTTTATTGAATGAACCAATAGAAAAATACATTTCAGACAATATAAAGAGAACCCAAAGATACACACCAAGTTCTCTAAAAATCAAAATGAATTGCCTTCAGACACATAGATTTCAGAAAAGGAGAAAAACGCCAGAAAAGCTTGCTGAACTGTACAAGAAATCTGGTCGAGAGGAAGTCCTGGAAGCAATTGAAAAATCCATTCAAGCTTGTAGGGGGCAGGAGAAAAGTCGAAAGCCAGACAAAAAATGAATAATGAAATAACATTTTAAATGTGAATTCTATCATGCAAAATATTCCATTTAGATATTATTAGTGCTATGTATATGATTTAAGTTTAACCAAAAAATGTTTTATTGTTTTAATTCTAATGTACATATGTTGTTTATTAATGTTACATTAATTTCAAGAAATATGTTGATAAAACCCACCAGTTTTGGTCATGTATTGAAACATTGTAGAATAGGCAAGATATTGAGCAAAAGTTATGTGCAAACTTCAGGTATTTTCTAAGTAGAGAACATCAAGATTGGCTATGTTTGTTGTTGTATGAAACTAATTAATTACTATGACATTGATTTCAAACTATTCATGTGATACAATGTACTGTCATTGTCTAGTTATTTCTGTGGGCAGGATGAGTGCATGATCACAGTTTGTGTAAAGAAAAGAAACGTTTTTGATATTTAGGTTCTGAATTTCATAAACACATCTGATTTCTAAAAAAAAAAAGTTACCGTATAAGTAGAATTTTTAGCGAGGATTTAATTTTGGCATTATTAGTGAGGGAGCCAAGATCGCTAAAATTAAATAGTGCTAAAAATTAATTGTGTTCTATTTGTAACAGCTTCTTTAATGTGTATTTTAAAATTGCTAAAATAACATTTCGCTAAAAATAAATTACCAGTTTTTAAGGGCAAATCGCTAAATTTGCGTCTCGCTAAAATTTCCACTTATACGGTATGTGAAAACCACTCATTGATTTTTTATAAATGACATTCAGGTATAAATTATAATTTACAGTATTTCATCATCAAATGTTATGTAATAATTATCCCTTTATATGATTTATTTATTTTACACAAATTATTTTCGTTTTACAAAAAAGTTAATTGTTTTTGTTTTACAAATAAAGTTCATGAAAATATTTGATTTTTTTTAAACAAACGAGTTTGAATCAGTGGTTGCTGTTCCTGATGATCAGTTTTAGCAGTACATCGGTAACCTAGAGGCCTATAAGCCTTGATGATTACCTAAGTAATACCAGAGGAGTCTGAAGTTTTTATCATCAAAAAAAAAATCCAGAACAAAATTTCCCACCCTTAACTAAAAGTACACACATTTTTTTTAGTTGAGGATGGGAATTTTTTTTTCCTTTTTTTTTTTTTGACGATAAAAACTTCAGACTCCTCTGGTATTACTAGTATCAAAGAGTCTTTTGACATTACAAACTTGCCACATCAGCCCAACCTGGAGTTAAAATCTGGGGCCCATTTTACGAAATTACTTGCAACTTAACAAAATAAATTTTAAAATAAATAAAAAGAAAATAAATTTAGACCTTCATATAACTTTTTAATTATGATAACATTGAAAATTATTTTAAAATTTTTAAAATGAATATGGTATTATAATAAGATATTTTTACACAAACAAATTTAAAGAGAATTATTAATTTAGCAAAATTTTACATTCATCTGAAGTTTTTGGTCTTAGTCGTAAGTTCTTTTGTTAAACGGGCCCCTGGGACTGTGTGAAACACAGATGCTAGTTGTTTTTAACCTTTCTTTTCATAAAGAAAAATATTCCCTATATGACAAGGTTGTTATTATTATTATATAGGGGATGTTTTTATTTAGGAAAAGAAAGGTTAAAAACATCAAGCGCCTTTGGTGTGAGATGAATTTTTCGAATTTGATGAGATTACGTTTTAAAGATGCATATTTTTAGTATAGGATCAGTCGATCCCAGCCCATTGCCATCAGCTCAAGGGATGCACATTTCATAAAATTAAATTAGGTAATTACTGTAGTTTACTAATTTGCTTGTGAAATGAAATTTCAATAGTACTCTGTGTATGATAAATATTCAAATATATATATGACAAAGTACTATCATGGAATTGGATTTTGGACCATCAGGAAATAAATATCAAAGTTTAGTGGACATTACTCTTTATTAAGCTCCAAACATGCCCTTGATAGAGAAAAAAGACTTTTATTCTGGATAAGACACTCATTTTATTTTTTGTTGACCAAAAGGCAGAATGTCTGAAATCTTGCTTCAATTATGCTTAAAGTTGGCTTGCTAAATGTCACGTAATAAATAGGCTTTTCAATGGTACATTCAATTGGAAAATAAAAGAAATATTTACGAAAAAGGGACAATTTTTATTTTGGAGATCACTTGCACTACAACATACATAAAAGACAGTCAATTCATCAACATGATCAGTGTAGCTTGATATATTCAACAACTTTGGGAACAACTTGCACAGCCAATGATACATGGTATCAATAAACAGCAAATATAAATGGATGTCTTTCTGATTCATGGCATCAAAAAGAAATTAAAATTTAAGTTATAAAAATTTCTCCATTTGTCAAGAGCCAGAGTTGTCTCCCTGTTCTGGAGCAGCTATTGAGAGTGACTGGACAGATGGCGCTACAAAGGCTGTTTTCTTCTTTTTTTGCTCTACTAGATTGTCTGGAGATTCCAAAGGTATCGTTACTGGGCCATCATTCTGTATGTGTACCTGCATGTAGGCCCCAAATTTACCATCTGTAATAGACATACATGTATGTGTACTTGTAGAAAGTAAAGGCTGAAATATCAAAGTAATCATTCAATTAACAAACAGTTGACTTACCAGGTATGTAACAATGAGTATTAAACTGCAAATATGAATTTTATTCCATTTTAGCATTGTTCTTAAGTTCATACACAGGGGCATCTTATCCACTCTGTTCTCTACTTCACATATAAAAATACGTGTATTTTTATATGTGAAGTAGAGAACAGAGTGGATAAGATGCCCCTGTGGTTCATAATAAGTTGTGAGACAGAGAACTTATTTTTTGTAAACTACGAAGGAAAAGAGAATAACGATCCGATTTCTAAATAAAGGTACAGGTATGATCCAGAAACAGTATCGAGGGATTCACGTTTTTGTTCAATTTATTGTTTTGTTTATAAACTAATGTAATATTAAAAAAATATTTCTATCAGAAATATCCACTTGCCCGATTGGAGAAGTAAATCGATGGTTTCACTTGCCCGAACTGATGATTTACTTGTCCCGGGCAATCGGACAACCGTTAATGTCGATCCCTAGACATGCATGTATTATGACATAAAATAAGCTTATCTGGTGAGTATTAGATATTTTACAAAAATACTTGAGGTAATCTGATGAAGTACACATACAGTAAAACTTAGTTATTCTTCTGGCAAGACCTGGGAATTTGCATTGCTACCTTTTATTTTATCAGGATTGTAGGACTTTCTCATTATCTGTAGAAACTCTTGATATGCCTTTTCAGAAGTGTCTGGACCCATGGCTTCATGGAAGTCAGGTTTGTTTCCTTTGAGAACAGCAGAAAGTGTAAACTGGAAAAAAAATAACGATTTAGATGTAGATACACACTGTTTTATGCACATGTATTATGCAATCTTTCTCATTTGGGATAGGTAGCTATAATCTCTTCGATCTGAGCCAAGTTCTTTTTTATGCGATTTGGGAGTACAGATGTACGAGGGTTGATCCAAAAGTTCGTGGAATTTCTTTCTAAAATTTTATCGTGATTTGATGAAAGCAAACAACTGACATATTTATAATATAGAGTCATAAAGCAACAATACTGGAAAATTTCACAACTTTCCATTCACCAATAAGGTCACACGAGCTTTTTGAAAATGGACTGTTGTGAAACCCGGGGGAGACTTTGACGTTACGTTAAGTTTTATATGTCACGTCACGTTTTAGAAGCATCTCACCCTAATGTACAATTCAAATAGGTAATTCTACAAATGCTGCCCTTTTCTCTATTTTTTTTTCTCAAGAAAAGCCTGGGTATCCTCTCGCACCAACTTATCTTCATTTTTCACTCATATTTCAAAATACTCCCCATCTTTCCATATGATGTTTCAATTTCAGTAGCAATGTGAAGAACAGTACATCAGCCGACAACATCCGTTAACGCTTTTAATTTATCTACGGGAATAAACACCCCCAAAAGGCAGCCACACCTTTAACTAATGTCCATGGATTTTTTATTTTTCTAAAATTTCTTATGCCACTGGAAAACCAGTAACTAAATGCATTTTCCCGGACCTATGTCAATAATATACGTGTTAAGATAGAGTGATCCCGGAATTTTCACAAAACTTATGACTTGACCGAAATTTAACGTTGTCTAACAACTTAAAGATGAGCAACAAATCACGAACTAATAAACTAAATATACAGTAAAATCAGTAAAACTCTCACACAGAGGTTTATAAAAGATCAAGCAATCGTAATAATGACACAATTTTGTTTTATATACCACATAGGGTGGTTTTATTCTCTTTTCTCGTAGAATTAGAATTAAAACGATAATAAATGTTTTAATATCTCCCCCGCATTTCCAAACAACCATTTCCATGGCAACTGTCATAGAGTTACTATCATAAATATTTAAAATGTTTTTTTTATTTAAAATATTCAAGAAGTGTCTATATTCTAATTTGTAACTTTCAACCAATTTCACTTAAAAATAAATAAAATATGAAGAAATTCCACAAACTTTTGGATCAACCCTCGTATATACCCGGTAGATTTTGCTCTTTCCATCTGTTTGTCTGTCTATCTGCAAATAACTTTCACCATGCCTTTAACTATTGATAAGTTAGAGATTGCTTTCATATTTTACCTACTTTTGCAAAATTTTACCAATCATTAACCTTGGCAATAAATTTTGAACAGTTGGGGCTAAGGCTTTCAAACTTTACAAGAGCATTCCTTGTGAGAAGACATTTCTTTGAGTTTAAATATCTTTGGATGCTTGACCTTGACTCTTGATTTTGACCCATTTTGGAAAACTTTATCGTTGACCATAACTTTAGAATATTTCTTGCAGCAAGACCTACAGATTTGGCCTTTTGTTCTGGACCTTGGAGTTGCATCTACTTTTGAAAAATGTTAACCTTGTCTATAACTTTTGAATGATTGGTGGCATGTTTCATACATGTGGTTCTTGAGACAAAACCTTCCTGTAGGCACCCTAAATTTTGACAATTTGAATAAAATACTCTGTTCACTAATTTCCTTGCAGTGATAAGCAAATGATGCCTTTCTTAAAGGCTTTGCAAAAAGAAAAAAAAACAAAATTTGATGATGATTTGTATTATAATATGCCAAGTGATCTTAATATGATCAGGTAAATATTTTCACGAGACTTCATGATGTCTATTTGTATAAAATTCCTTTTTCTCCTCTAAAACAATCAATGAATGGGTTGTTGTCAAAATAATTGCCATGTGTTTACCATGCTCTCCAGGTGACACAGAAATTCTAAGGAGAATAACACACCTGACTGACACACAAGACCTCCAGCTGTTTGTCAATCACACTCTTATTCCATCTCTTCCCATCTTCCCCATCAAACAAGCGAATGTTTAAAATCTTCCTTGCCCTAAAATAGCATATGAAGCATTACAAATATATACTAACTTGTAGCTGATCTTCTTTACATGGACTCTCAATCTAGTTAATTTTTTTCAATATCCTTTCTTTAGAGTTAATTTTTTTTAAAGAAATAAGGAATACTCAAAAATTTATGTATGCATTACATGTATTCCAGTTCCTTTGTTGAATCATATCTGCCTATACCAACCAAGACACACAGTCCCTGTCCAATGGAACTAATTGTTTCTTCACCAACTGAAACAAAAAGACAAATCTAGCTTACAAACATCCAAATTATAGTGCCTATAGAAGTCATGTCTCATTACTTTCCTGTTAAACATTCAGGAAATAGGTAATCAAAGATTACAGAGCACATGCACCTCAACAAATGTTATCTTTAACAAGAGAATTGTTTGTTAAACACTTATGCCCCCTCCCTCAAATAATTGCTAAGTCAAAGGGGTACGTAAGATGTTCATTAATCTTGTAATTCATTTACTTGTTTAATTTATGTAACAATCTACTGGCAGTCGTTTAAATATCTATTAATTATTACTTTTCGTAAATATTGAAATGTCTTTTTGTTTGGAGTTTGTCTATGTGTATTGTTTAATATGAGTGTTGTGAGAGTGTTTTTCTATTTTCTAGGTTTTTCTTTATATCCATTAAAATATTTAAAACGACCAAACCAGTTTTGTTATATGAATACTTCTAACAAGACCATGACCCTGTGACACACAGTAGAACAGTAATTTCTTATAGCAAGCGCAGCGAGCTCAATAGACTAACGTGTAAGAAGAGAGGAAATTCGGAATGAAATCTGTACATACGTCAGGCAAATTTCTCTGTGAAACTTTCCCAGAATTCTTTTACTACCCAATGTCCTTTGTGCGAATAAATAAATAAATAAATAATAACGTAAAGCATAATAGGCTTTCAGTTAGTAGAAATCTTTCAAAGAAACAAAAAATAACTCTTCAATGTTTTTAGACCAAAATTGCACTAGGTCTATAGTTTCAACCAGATGCTCAGCTTTCTCTGTAAGCTCCGACGAGCTCCGTGACGTCGTGTGACGTCACAGCTAGTCGAGATGTCTCGTGCAGCTTGATGTTTGAAGTGGCTGATCAATATTTTTAAAGTGTTTTTGATGGTATAAATGCGCTCGCCCCAACGGTCACACTGTAAAACATATTAAAGAACTGTGACAGGGCAAATTAAAATGCGGCAAAATTATTTGCAAGTGTAAAAGGGCGAAAATAGTTGAATCCACACTTTTCAAAAGTTATGTCCCTTGGCTGCCATCTAACTCGCATAGTGCATTTACTAGGAACAATCTAGAGAGTTCCGAATGTAAACATGGCAGGTAATTTGAATCCAGGAATAAACCCATACAATCCACATGGCAGGTAATTTGAATTGAAAATTAATTGGATTTTCAGTAGCCTTTGTAGTTTTCAGGTTTGTAACTTCAACATTTGAATTTAAAAAAGCGCTGCCTTTTGTGTACTGATTGCCCCAAGATGGGGCTACCCACACATTGAAAGAAAAAAATTAAACGCAATGGATTTAGCACAGCACGCCCAAGTATTTGGTAGCATAAAGAGGAGAAATGACGTTTCTTTCCCTTTTGACCTTTTGGTTGACCCCACAAAGGGAAACAACTTTTGCAAAGTGTAGATTGGTCTATAACACAGGGTGAAAATAACTGTTTGCCCCAATGGTCACACCATAAAACATATTATGAAGAGTCAAATAAATGCAACTTTTTGTTTATTTCTAGCAAAAAAAATTTTTGTGAAAAACTGCAAATAAATAGCTAAATAAAGCTATTCTAAATAGCTTAACAAAGCTATATAGCTATACCTGAGTATATAACCCAGTAATGTAACTTTACCCCCCACCCCCCCTTTTTACATAACGGGAACCCCTGTCGTCTAGGATGGCTACATTATACAATAATTTTTTTCTTGGGAACATGTCAATTGGCTCAAAGGGACAATACCTGTCACACTGGCTTGAGTAACTCTCTGAATTATCGCTTTCATTGCAGGCGATTGCCGAGGTAGATTGCCGACTTACAGTTTACTTCCGGTCTCACAGATTTATATAAATTGTACATCGGCATTTTCGCAAACAAAGGAAAATATCTTTTAGAAGAGATTATATGGAAAAGAATTATTTTACAATTGAATATATTTCTAAAATTAAATGAACTAAGCAATGTCAATTAAAATTTTCCATAATGACTTTGTCTCATGCATCATCCGAAATTTTATTGTAAAACCTGTCTGATCAAATTCCGCGCGTGATACTCTACCTCACCAAGGGAACGGACACAAGCAGCAAGCTAACGTACACGGCAACAGATTAGAATCATAAAAACCAACCGAAACAACGTAAGTTAACAATTATAGCGCCATAGTATCACAATAGTTCAGTGCATATCTATTTGCTGGTACTTTTGTGACGTTTTAGTTTTGCTGTGATTTTTCATAAACCTATAGAATTATCAAAACAGTTGCTCTGACATAATAAATATATTTTTATGCACACATATGTGTTTCCCTTTCTTTAGGATGGGGGCTTAACTTAATCCTCATGCATATAAATAAGTTCTTCCTAACGTTCCACAATAGTAACTTTTAAAACATGTTAAAAGCTATTTTGAAGAATTGGGGCTTAACAAAAGCAGCAGGTATTTGCTATGTGTTTTGGATAAATCAGTGCAGGACAACCTGGCTGAATTGTTATGGAGATAAGGTGTTTTCAGTTTTCTCCACCTGCACATTTTAAATTTCTAGTGATCCTATGTAAATATGATAAAATAATCAATATTCTCAGTGAATAAGCAGAATTTTTAGCGAGGATTTAATTTTGGCATTATTAACGAGGGTGCTGAGATTGCTAAAATTGAATATCGCTGAAAATTGATTGCATTTTATTTGTAATAGCTCCTATAGTGAGCATTCAAAAATCGCAAAAATAACATCTTGCTAAAAAAATAGAATACAACTTTTTGAGGACAAATCGCTAAATTTGTGTCTCGCTAAAATTTCCACTTAACAGTACCAAGTCTTCAGTGTGTGCACTGGGATGCCATTAATATATACAAGTGCTTTGCTGTTATGGTTATTTTTTATTTGATGTCTACACAGAACAAACATGACAGAGGTTGATGTTCCTCAGACTAGGCCACCAGAGCCACTCAGCATCCACATTGTTAAAGCTTCAAACTTGGTAAGGCATATTTTGATGGATGATTTTTATTTCAAATATATTTCAAGATCTCATTATAATTCAGTTTCATTACATCTTTTTTTATATAGTCATGTCATATTTTCTTTCAATTCATAAACTTTGTTTTTAAGTAAATCAGATATTATTTTATTACTCAGGGGTATCTAACATGCTTATACTGCTTCTTTAAAAAGTCTTATTCATATAAATTTAAGCTTGCTTAAATGTATTATATCTTAACATCTTGGGTTAAGGGATTTGCTCACTATTTAATGAACATGCAGTGCTTAAGATAATGTACATTTCAGAAATTGACAAAGATAGACAATGGTCAGGTAATGTCTTGAGTTTGAGGACTGATGAGGCATATTATATGCACGCTACTGGAACACGTCATTGCTCTGTGAATTGTGTTGTCATGAAATATATAAAACTCATTTCTGAAGAAAAACTCATCACAATATTAGTAATGTGTGCTTGTGCAACAACAACAACAACAAAATTCAGTGAAATCTTAAAAGTTGAAATAGACTTGAAATTAAGTTTGTTAATCAATCCAAAATGCATGATTTTTTTCTAGACTGTATTGTTATAAATTACTCACTCTTTGGATTTTATAACATGAAAAATTGGCATGACAACTTCATAATCCAAAGTCTCACCTTTTTTAAGACACTAAATTATTCATGAAAATAACACTGATGTCAGTTTTTATTCACACTTGACAACAATAATATAAAATTCACACAAGTAAATGAGTAAATGTGATAGCACAATTTATCAATGAGATAAAGTCATATAATTATTCATTCCATATTCAAATTTTTTTCAGTAATATTTTTTTTTTACATTTATATTGCAGTATAATGTATAATTGGAATTTCATCTTCCTTATTGTTTATTATTAATGCACTCAGAGGCCATGGTCAGGATCATCGGTAATGATATTTCTCAGTTCACAAATTTTATGTTTTAGTGAATCTTTTAGTTACATGAATAGTTGCAGGAATGAGCTATTGTTTTCCAATAGGCAAACTAAGTAAGCCTAATGGAAGCACATGCATCAGTTGTCAGTTTATCTTCTCATTTATCATTCTTACTTAGTGTCAATAGCATTTTGTTTATGATGTAGCTGATTATATCTGTATTTTGGTCAAACACAGGATTGTTATAAATGTTCAAGTGCTGTAAGTGTTTATCGACATTATTACTGTTTTACTGTGATTTATAGTTGTTTTTCATTGCTGTACAATGTAGTTTTCAGTAATTATTAGATTTTTTAACAATCTAGTTCAAATAATCGTGTTTGTCATTTGCAGGGTACTGTTTATGTTTAGAGTTAAAATTATTAATTTGTTTGAAAAAAAAAGCGTCAAGTGTTTTCTGTTAAGTTTATGTACATGTACTAAGAGTATTGTAATCTTTTTAAAGTTTGGTTTTGGGGATATTGGTGATTGAATTCATACTAAGTTCATGTTAGCTGTCTAGTATATATAAATATATAATTTATAACCATACAAGTATTTGATTTTACTTATTTATTATCTAGTGATTAATAAGAATGAAAAGAAAACAAGTTTGATGGAGGAAAGGGGTTATTGTGTGAATAAGAAACTAAGAAAATAATTAAAATATTTAATAAATTTAATTATTTTTCAAGCAAACTACCAACAGTTAACTTATCAAAATAGACCCATTAATATACATGTAGTACCATGAATTAGTATTATAGGCTTATTGGTTATGGAAGCAATCTTAATTATTAATCAAATATAATGAAGCCATTTATGACCAAGACTCACTGACTGTTATTTTTTTTTCTATATTGTTTACAGAAAGGAACTAAGGGAGATAATGTGCAGATTACGGTTAAGGTGGAATTTGGTGACAGACAGTTGGGGGAATCCCCTAAGGTGGAGTGTATCCCCGATACCCCTGCAGAGATTGATTATACAGCTACACTGAACTGTACCTTTGAGGACCCCTTGGTCTTAGATGAAATTTCTTACAGACCAGTTGTCTGTATGTATTAGAAATTAAAAAAAAAGAAACTAGAAACTATAATATTGAATTTTTTAAACATTAAATTCTGACATTAACACACACAAAGTTGAACAAAAAAGAAAAAAACATTTGACAAAGATATTATTAGGCTGTGTCGTGATATCTTTGTTTAGCATGTGGAGTTCTTTATGAAACTCAATAAATGAAGGATATGACTTTTTAACTTAAAATGAAAAGATTAAAAGATAAAAAAAAATACTTTACTTTCAGTGACTGTGACAGAAGTTCTACCAAAGGAAAAAAAGCAAAAAGAGGAGAAGACTGCTCAGCTTGGACAATGTACTGTGGATTTACTTCCCCTTGTCAAAGGTATCCTTCTTTAGATTTGATGCATAGCAAATAAGCATGCACTTTTCAAGTTTGCTGATTTAAATAACACAGTTCTGCATATTTTATAGAATAATGCATTACATATATCAACAAGTAACTGTGTAATTTGGTATATAGTATGATTGTGATTCTCAGAGAGAATTTTTTTTTTAATTCATTGCAGAGATATATATTTTGGGGGAAGGGGTGGTCTAGATGAATTTGAATTATGAGCTACACCTACACACTCTTCAGAAACAAGTTAAAATTGCTAATTTTTCATAAACTGTCCTCTATATGTTCTCCACCTTTTTTTTTTAGGTGAAACAAAACATCACTACAATCTGGTGATCAACCCTTTGCCTGGCTCGCCTTTGGAGACAATTAGTCCTGAAAGTCCTAAGGTATTTCTAGATAAAAACTGAAGTTTTTAAGCAGTCTTTAACTTTTTACTGAAATCATGATGAAGGTCTTCTCAAAGAAAAATCACTTGATTTAAAATTCTTGAGTTCAGAAATCTCTGTAGAAATGTTAACACATGATATGCAAGAGTAATGTTTTCTTCTAGAAAAAAAATAGAAATTTAGCATGCTAAGAAAATTTTATACCAGATAGGCTTAATGGAGGCTGTGCAAACATGATCAAATATTACACATTTTTGGAGAGGCTTTTTTTTGACAACATTTTGATTATTTAACAGCCAGAGATGGAGGTGGTGATCTCAGTTCAGGAATCCCTGTTGGAGGGGACACACATTGACCAGGGGAACCTGATGACCTTGACTGTAGAGAGTCTGTACTCTCCCCCCGAGTCCTGGACAATGACCGGCACACAATATGCTTATTGTTCTGCACTTCCCATCCCAGTGTCAGCTGAGGTAAGTTTCTAATTAATACTTTGAAAAGAATTAAATTACAAATCTTTTCTTTTGCTGCAAATAAAAAAAACTTAATAACTTGCCTCCAGTTTAGTTTTTAATCACATTCCTTTATGCCCATCTTGTGAAATACAAAAATTTTTGCATCAAAGAAAAATCTTTATTTTGTAACATAAAAATAAACTGACCCAACAAAAATTATATGAGAGGTGTTTACATTTATTAGGAATAATTGAGAGACAGTTCTTATTAAGCTTAGCTATATTTTCACAGAAAGAGACACCAGTAGTCTTTGCTAATGGGGCATTAAAGCCAAGCGTTGACAAGGAGCCCCCCAATCGCCAGAAAAAGTGGGCTGTACCAGGCACTGCTCAAGGAAACTCTGTCTACATCCCAGAGAGGTAACTGAATCACAATATTTTAAATATTGTTTATAAGAACATGTCTCCTTTGGAATTTAGATGAAGGTGCATGCAGAAAATATGGAACATTCGATTCTATGCACATGCAAGTCTAGAAGTTGGCAAATTGTTTGAAATGTTTTATTTTATTGTTGCAAGGATATATCATCAGCAATCAATTTACAAAATAAAAGAGGAAGGAATAATTTCTTAATAAAAGCATAAAATTTATTTGCTCAATACCTAGCTAATACTTGATGTTTTTTTATAAATATCAATTGACAATTTTTCAGTTTCCTACCCCCTGACAATATTGATGATGAAGATGGTGAATTCAAGGGTAAAGAAGATCGAGAGCATCGTCATATGGCAGAGACAGAAAAACTGAGGGTCACCTGGAATACAGAGAGGAGATGTTACATGGATGCCCTGGCTACCAAAAGGTCAGCATATGGTTCTTTATTATATACCTAATGTGTATCACTCAATTTTACTGTTGATTTTATGAAATCACGTGACATCGTGATCCGACTTTCCGGATCACCACACTGTGGTTTTCTGAATCCATATCACCACTTTCTGAAACTGATGACGTAGTATGCAGATTTCTTGTGCCTTAAAAAGTCCCTTGTTATCATGCTTTGTTTAATGGATGAATATTATCCAATTTATCTCTAAAGGTTTATTTTAATATATTTAGCCAGTTATAAGGGGTATATGATAAATTTATCATCATATCAGTAACTTGATCTGAAGAGCCATATCACGTCTCGTTGACAGGCGTGGATCATCAGATCAAAATCAACGCTTCGCGTCTCGTTTGATATGATCCGCGCCTGTCAAAACGTGATACGACCCTTCGAATCAAGTTACTGTTGTAATAATATATATGTATTTTCAGCTGAGATTAGGATTGGAAGGATGTTTTGATTTTTTTTTTCTCTCATAAACTCTACTCTTAGATAAAAACAACAAACATATCATCCTAGGGGTTGTGGAAGGGAGTGGGTTGGTAGCTGGGTGATAGTATGAAAAAATGTATGAAAAAAATATTAAATATTTTTCAAACAAGTCTTTTTGAAAATTCATTTATTTAATAATGTTTATTTTTCGGGGGGGGGGGGGGGGGGGGGGGGGGGGGGGGGAGGATTTTTAATAAGCAATATATAATTTTGTGTCTTATTTTCACAGTTTCCAGGATAAGATAGCTAAGTGTAGGTATTGGCCTGTGGAGGTGATGAGGTTACCTCAGCCAGCGGCTGCCAAGGGCAAGAAGGTGAGCACATATAAGGCTGCATATTATTACAGACTTATGTTTTGTATTATTCACAAATTAATGATCAGACTATAACATCTGGAATGAGGCTGTTATGAAGTAAACGCATGAATCATTAATGTTTTATGCACTTTTTTTCAGTATTTGTTTTCTGTGTGAGAATTTCTTTTTCATTTGATGTTAAATAATGTAAAGATGCCCTTATGTCAATGTCATCACATTGAGAATTTGACCTTGACCCTTCACAGTCACAGAATGCTACTACAGTTGTAAGTTTAAATCTGTAATGTAGCCCACTTTAAAAGCAAAATTAGAACAAAGTGTGCACAGCTTTACACATATTTTTAAATTATTTTATTTTTTTTTTAGTTTTATGGTTTTTACATATACATATAAAAGTTTAGACCTAAATTGCTTGGTGTGTTTCCCCTATATATATAAATACTAACAAACAAACAAACATATATATTTTTGATTTATTTCAAATGGACAAATATAAATTGGTTGATCCTGAAATTTCATGTGGGCAATACTTCAAGGGTTTTTCTTTCAATATTCTTCAGCATTCTGTTGTGGTAGGTATTCCTTTGTTGATGATTTTGTGTCCCGAATGCCAAAATACATGTCTAGTTACAATTCTCCCAAAATGTCGATGTTTTAGTCAAGTGTCACAGTTTTCCATGTGTTGTCAAGTACATTTTCAATGCAGAATTCATTTTTGAGGAGGCTATGACAATTTTTTGTTTTTTATTCATCATTGAAAAGGTATTGAAACATCCCCCATCTTCTGTGCTGTCGGAAATTTTCTCATTAAAATATATTTCAATAAAATGCTATGAGTAAAATCTACTTCCCATAAAACCAAATATTTTTGAGGAATCAAATTTTCATGGTTTAAAAGAAAGCTTTGGTTTGAGGGGGATTTGTTTTTGGGATTTTAGAAATATTGAGTGATTATAATTTGAAATTTTACATTCCATGGTGGACATGAGTTCATGGGTCTAGCTTTTCCATTACCATAAAAAAACCATGAAAATTACCCCCCACCCCACCCCCTGAAAATAAGTTATTTCACAGTATACCTTGTTGGCTATAAGTACAGTATCAATTATCTCTTTTCAAAGAAAAATTGTTCTGATATTTTTAATTTGGGAATTATATAGCATATAAATAGACTATATAATAATATCAATTATCTCTTTTCAAAGAAAAATTGTTCTGATATTTTTTTATTTTAATCATAATTATATTGGTTAAAAAAGTCTTTTGAGGAAACATTTCCCAGTATAGATACCAATATCTTTGAATATATGTACATATATATTCTTCACTATTGTAAATACATTATATTGGTATCATGGAAGTACCCATTACAAATTTTGTAATGAACATCAAGCATTATATATCCATATTTACAGTAAAGTGGATTGATTTGATACTTTTTTCTCAACACTTAATTGATTTTATTATGGTAAACTTGGGGGAAACACATAAATATTTAAATAGACCGTTGTAAAAATAAATATTGTACATTTTATGTTATAATGGTATGTGATTTTTAAATATATAATTTTTTTTTATAATTAATTTTCACTTTAACATTCTATATGAGTCTTTTATTGACATATATATTTCTTCTTCTGATAATTCCTATAATCTACACAATAAATCTTTTACTTGTAATATTGCACAGCAATTCAATGTATAGTTGTACATGTATATACTAACACCTTTTTCAACAGAAATGTTACAATGACCGCACATTTGTGCATTATGATGATATTGAGGATTCTCAATAATACATGAAGTCACCTGGTGGAATATTAATGGTCTATCTAAACTTATTTCAGTTTTTTTTTTTTTTTAAATTAAGCCCATAATATGTCATGGACTATGTACAGCACTTGTGAAATAGTGCCATTAGTATTTTGATGTTGTATGTAATCAAAATTGGAGATGGTATTTTAGCAATTTTCATGAATACCGTTATCTCTCTTTCTCATCTCTAAAAAAATCAGTTACCTGGAAGAGAGCTTTTCATTTTCATCTGGAAATAAGTTTTGAGCTGAAGTTCAGAAAATTTAAATTAAAAATTGCATGATCATGGGTAATCTATGCTAAAGGGGCTTATTTAATCAACATGACCTTACAATTCATAAAGCCTTTTTTTCACTGTACCTTATTTGACTTTGAAGAAACAAACATCATAGAGTACTTATTTTTGACTTAATAATAGCTTTTGATCATTTAATGTTTTGCATACAGCCACTTGGGGGAGGGAAATTGAAGGTTTGTCCACTGTGTGTGCATTTTGTTGCTATGGATACCCATATGTAGACAATAATTTTCTGGGGGTATCTAATCTTTGTTAAACTTTGTAGTTTTTCTCTTTAGATCTTAAGATCCCACCCATTTTCTCTTAACATTAGAACATTCTTTTCCTGAAAGTTTGAATTGTAGTTAAAAATTCTAATCTGTATTTAAAAGAAAATTGGCTTTATATATTTTTGCTGTTATCAAAGATAGAATAAGGATCAGTTAATTAAAGGAGATTTTCTAGTAAAAAGTAGCATTTTGTTAATCTATGTCTAAAATTTTCATTTAAAGCTTGTATTATTCCTAATTGCCTTCTGTTACTCTCTTTTTTATTTTGGTTCACATTGAACAGTAATAGTGTATAAATCATAATGCCTGTCTACTATAAAGCCTGTTATCTCAAGTTATTACTTGCAATTTCCTTTTCATTTGCTAAGGAAAGTTTATCATTAATCTTCATAACTTTCATCAATTTTCTTTCGGTTTTCTTTTCTGTATCAATTAAAAGGAAAACTTGTATTGTGATTTGACATTGGATGACTTTTTCTCTTTGACAGGATGATGAAGGATCCATTAGTTACCATGGTGTGGCTTTTGTCAACTTGGCTCCTCTCCTATACCCAGGGGGTGAGTACCAGTAAAGAGAACCAGTCTTAGGGGATATGTGATACAATAAGTCATTTTGATGGGTCCAAAAGCATAAATAAAAAGTAATGTACCGTTCTTGAGTATTATTTTGAATGCAGTAAAACATCAATGATGAGAGCTGAAATTTATAGCAACCTCCAAAAAGAACTAAGTGGTGGCTTACCTTGAAAGATGGAAACATTTTTAAATTGAAGCCTTAATTTGCCCCTTTTATTGCTAGCTCTGTCTTTGGAGTATAACTTGGTTTGCTTTTATTGGGGTTCTTTTTTATATGCTTTATTAGCAAAATGAAGGCCATAGCATTCACAAATTAAAAAAAATATTGTTAACTCCTGATGTTAAGTTTTGTGTATTTGGAATGTATGAAAATTTTAAATTATTTAATATCTGTTTCAGTGAAGAGAATAAGAGGAGCATACAAAGTACATGCATACACTGATCATGCAATGCATGAGAAGGTGAGTATGGATCACATTTATATTAATTAACTAGGAATCATGAAAGAGCATAAGGTTCATACTTCATGTAAAAAGTCACGAATATGAGATGAAATGGGTTGGTGGGTGGGAGCTACATGACCGAAAAAAAAAAGAGTTACTGCTAAAGTCAGCAGCATTTAGGGACATTTGTCCAACACAGTGCTTCTGGTAGAATGCACAATATTTTGCAAAGTGAAACATTGCCATTTCTTCAGAAATGGCTATATGTATATTCCAATTCTCTAAATAATTATAGAAAATTAAAAAAAAAAATTGACTTTTTGCTCAAACATGTAGAACTGTATATCTTTATAATGGATAGTGATTTTTTTAAATGTAGACCAAGAGGAAGACAGGGTTTGGGGAGGAGGCAGCTAAGATTGCCTTCAACATCCTAAACAGAAACAGTGCCTCTCCTTTCCCAAAGAAAGCTGGAAAAGAAGGGGGAGAAAAGAAAGAGAAAGAGGTCAAGAAGGGGGTAGGTTCAGATGTTTATCAATACATGTATTTCCTCATTGAATTCACTTGTCAAGTTTATGCGTTGAAAATTGAAATGTTGAATATTAAACATATTAGTCCTAAGATTAGTCCCTTTCTAACTTCTTGTACATAAAACACTGTTTTATGAAATTTGATTTTAAATTTTAGTTGATTTACCCAATTTAATTTCTGGAAAATGTTTGCTTAAAACAGCAAACAAAAAGCTTGATAATTTTTCCCATGGAAATATTGTAATATATATGTATGCCTCTTTTACCGAAAATAAAAGCATTAGTATGTTATAATATTTTTGAAGACACAAATGGAAGTTGCATAACAACTACTTAATGAACCAGAAAAAATTAAATGGTAAATCATCGGTGTATCTTTTGGAGAATGAAATTCTGTGTTTTTCTGAAAAATTTTGATAACAATAGGAAGAAAATCAATACCTGAGAATATTATGATACGAGGAATAAATGTGGTGCTCTGATGCCATATGAATATAATCATGTTGAGAGGGGAAAAAAAAGACAAGTTTTGCTTGTTGCAGAGGGCCAGTAGTGTTGCTCAGCACCATGACCATGAGGTTGGCAAACTCTGCCGTGCATAATCACACGCTTGAATAATTATATCACTGACATTTGACTTTTTTTTTCTTCGCTTCGTTCATTCTAATATGAACTCCCATGTATTTTATCCTCTGTAAAAACAGATAAAACTTGTTGTTTTTTAATCAGCCATGATTGTTTAAAGAAAATAACATGGGGGTTAACTCAAACTTTTATGTTTTTAAGTCCAGACCATTTTTTTTTTGCTCTTGATATACATGAAAGTATATTGCAGATATTTAACAATGACCAGTTCATTGTCTAAATGATGAACAAATTAGACCCTGAATTCAAATATTTTTCAGGACTCCTATTTTTAAAAAAAACAACTTGAAATTCAAAAAACATTAAGATTTACTAGACCATTTTGTAGTGACTGAAACTTTTTGTTGTAAAATTTGTGTTGGATCTTGCAGCGGTCAATGAGCATTGCTCAACAACAACAGCAACAGCAAGCCAATGCGGCCCCAGCGGGGCCGGGGGGTCAAGTTCCAACGGAGGTAGTCTCTCATTATTACATTCACTCGGTACCGGGCGTGTTGACATGAGAAACTGATTCATGCACATGCATGCACTCATTTAGATTAATTGTTACCCCTTTTATCGTAAAATTAATATTTTTATATAAAGAAATTAGGAATACAGGTGTTTATTTGTTTTAGATCTAGATCTAGACCTTTTCTGATTAGGCTAAAAGGGACAGAAAAATAACTCTAGATCATATTCTTAAAAATCAATTTTTTTCTTATCTTGTCACTGAATTATGAGTGTGGTACATTTAGGTAAAAGTTTGGCTGGGAGGGAGTTTAGAATTGTGTAGGAAGTCTCAAAGCTTTCATGCTAGTTTTTAAAACTTTTTTTCCCTGGTTTAAAGCATCATGAAAGAAATGATGAAGAATTCTGCAGCTCATAGCTGAAATGTAGAATTTAACATGTTGGGATAGTGCTATTTCATGTGTTTAATTAACAATGGATTGTGTTGTGTGAACCTGTGTGCATTCCCTGTTGTCCACGTAGAAATTTTAACTAACACGACTGCAAACTGTAATAAATGGATTACCTATCCTCACTTTGTGTTACTTCCACTGCAAGTTTGTTTTCCATATACTACAAATTGTTTTTTTTTTGGTGCATGTTTCAAAATCAAAAGTGTGTTTTGCCAAGCTGTTGTGTTGAACAGTTGTTTTTGGTCTGTTATCTGCTGCACTTTTACATGTATATATTTTCTTGATTAAACTTTTTTAAAAATACTATAATATCATGTGGTTGGGACAAAAATGTTTTAGTAAAAAAAAAAATACTAAATGAAAAAAATTATTTTGAGGAATTCAAAATCAGAATTATTTAAGTGATTGAGTTTATAAAATATGAAGTTTAAACCAACTGTGTTGTATAGAGGGATGACAGTGGCATGTCAGAAAAATATAGCAGCCAATCAGTGAGAGAGGTGAGAGGTTGTTACCAAGGTGATGAGATCCAGGTTTTTTTTGAAGGGTTTTGAGGTGGATATTAGAATTTGACTCCAAAGTTGGTGATGTTCTTCACCTGTAGTAGTAGATTTTTGTTGATTTCAAAAAACAAAATTGTAGAGTTTCACATAGTGTATATGTTTTTAAGCACAATTTTTGAGGTTAGTATTAGCTTGACAATTAACAGAATTCGAAATTTTTGATTTTCATACTATATTTTTTATTTGTTTTGAGAAAATAATTTTTATTCTTAGATGAATTTTTTTTTTTAAAATTTAAGGAAAATATTCTTTTTTTTTTTTTTTATTTTTACCTATCCTACATACATACAAACAAAATAAATACCTTGTTATGATTTACCTCTAGGCCTCTCAGACCATAAAGTCAGACACTGGATCAGAGATGGAGGGACAGGCCCCCGTCAATGTCGAGGGACAGCAGTATGTGGATGCCAAGTCCTACGTCATGTTAGAAATCTGCCTCACCAGGCCTCTTATACCCAAAAGGCCCCCAGAGGAACTGGCTAGAAGGTAACAAAATGATACAGTTCAACCTTTTTATCTCAAACTCAATTGGGCAGAGAAAAAGCATGGTATATAAGAAGTTTTAAATACTGTATTAAGGTTAAAATACTGGCACTAAGTAGTAAGGACCTCACACTCTCTTTGACATCATGGTATTCCATATACAATATTTACCAGGGTATCAATAAAGTTGAAATTATAAAGTTCAATTGTAGTTTATCATTTGTGTGTGTTTTTAACCAAGGAATTATCAGAATGCTTTGTAATGAATAAATGGAGCACCAGTAAACAAAATCTTGAAGATCCTGTTTCTTTTAATTTGTAGAGTTGCTGAATACATTCCTCCAAGACCACTGTTTCCAAAAAGAACTGATGGAGCTCAGAGGGTAATGCATCATGAACAATTTTTTTAAAAAATAATTATTTAATTTTATCAAAGGTATCATTTTGAATAGAATAAATAAAATTAATTACAATTGTAATAGTTCATATATATCTTCTGGAATCTTACGATTAATTTTTTTTCCCAGGCTGTTGAAGATTTCCACAATCAAGTTGGAAGTGTTGCTAATCTTATCCTAGACGAGTTCAGGTAACAGTTACAGCTTTTTCATATAAAATTTGCTTAGAGTCATATTTTACAGCTACACATTAAAATTAGGGATATCAAAATTATCCCAAACATTACTAAAATCGGTATTTACTTGTATATTTTTGAATGTTTCTAAGCTCATTTATTAATGCATTAAAACATCGGTTTTAAAACGTTAAATGTTCATTGCATTTGTACATACAGTAATTAGGGTTTTCACACCTCTAAATGACCGTTATCGCCCGTGGCATTGATTATACAGTAATTATCGTGACCAAACACCTGCTACCTGGCTTTTCTCACCTTCGACTGTCTTCTACCCTTATTTTTTGTTTGCTTTAATGATTTGTTTTCACTGCACATCATTTAAGGTCTATTGTGTTTAAATAAATTAGATAATTTAGTCAATTCTCCAAGAAGCAGTAAATTTTCGGGAAAAGAGACAGATGATATATTACACCATGTACACGTGCGAACGGATTGTTGATATGGTTGTGAATGATTACATGCATTAATTCAAATGGTTGAAGGCAAATGCTTTAAAAACTTATGTCCATCGTTGCATCAAATTACAACATACCGTCCCGTAATACTATAAAATATAGGATCGAAAATATGTACGAAGATCAGAAATCCGCTCTGTCATAGAACTTGATCAAGTCGATACTGTAGCTCTGATGACTGATTACCTGGAAGTCAAAAGCAACCAAAGAGTTGCATTACAATTACGGAGCAGATTATTATTTTAATAAAAACACTGTAAACCATTTATGATTTTATTCCTTGTATTTATCTGATAAATAAATTGATCTTTAAAAATGTTATATTGAATTTCGTCGGGCATGAGGTGCTCATAATTATTACATCAGATTTACGGGTAAATCTCCCATCGGAGCATGTGGTTTTATTTCTACAAGAGCTTACAATGTTTTACAGTTATCAATGTTACTTGTTCATATTTATTTACACTTTTACCGAGTACCCGGGTACTCGATCGGAAAAACGTCCGAGTAACCGAGTATTAAAAATCGACCGATTTGACATCCCTAATTAAAATGCAGCAAAATTATCCCAAACATCTTATTTTTAACCACTTTCTTTTATTACAGGGATCAGTTTGGTGATATCCTAAAGACAGATGATGTTCCACAAACTGTAGAAGCAATGGAATCCAGGTACAGCTAAAGATTGTTGAATTGTAACAGTTATAGTTATTGGTCTGCATTTTTTTTCCAAAAGCAGGATAATGAAAAGAATGTGTTCACACAAAGTAAAAAATTTATATACAGGAGGCAGAAATTGATCTATGAGCTGAATTCCTCTGGAAAGTACTTTTCATTTAAAGAACAGCTAAAGTATGCAGTGGTGAAGATTGTACGCGAGAAATATCTTAAAACTTCAGCCTTTGAGGACAGACAAGAACTACAGGTTTGAGATGGGTTTTTTTCTCTGAAAGCATAAATCTTTGACATTGTTAGTGTTCCATTCATGTCATTGTCTGATGGCAAAGTTTTTAGCAAAAAGGCTTTTCACAACTATAGAAAAAATTTGCTAAAACATATCAACAGTTCCCTGCATTTGGCAGTGATTAATGTGATGCAAGTGATAAATTTTTGTGGAAAAAAAGAAAAGAAGGTGAATATAATTACAACAATTTACCCTTTAATTAAAATGTAAAATTATAATTTTTATTGGCAGTATTTTTAGCTCACCTGAGCCGAAGGCTCAAGTGAGCTTTTCTGATCACATTTTTTTCCGTCTTTGTTCATTTAAACTTTTCACATTTTCGACTTCTTCTCAAGAACCACTGGGCCAATTTTGACCAAACTTGGTACAAAGCATCCTTGGGTGAAGGGGAATTTAAATTATAAAAATGAAGGGACATATCCCCTCGCAAGGGGAGATAATCAAGAAAAGAGAAAAATAGGGTTGGGTCATTAAAAAATCTTCTTCTTGGGCCAGAAAAGCTGAAACTTATGTGGAAACATCCTGGGGTAGTGTAGATGTTCAAATCATGACCCCCGGATAAAAAATGGGGAATCAAAGTTCTATATAGAAATATATAGGAAAAATCTTTGAAAATCTTCTTCTCAAGAACCACTGGGCCAGAAAAGCTGAAACTTATGTGGAAGCATCCTGGTATAGTGTAGATTCTAATTGTTCACATCATGACCCCCGGGAGAAGGGAGGGGCCACAATGAGGAATCCAAGTTTTACATAGAAATATATAGGAAAAATCTTTGAAAATCTTCTTCTCAAGAACCACTGGGCCAGAAAAGCTGAAACTTATGTGGAAGCATCCTGGTATAATGTAGATTCTAAATTGTTCAAATCATGACCCCCGGGGGAAGGGTGGGGCCACAATGGGGAATCAAAGTTTTATATAGAAATATATAGGAAAAATCTTTGAAAATCTTCTTCTCAAGAACCACTGGGCCAGAAATGAAACTTATGTGGAAGCATCCTGGTGTATATATTGTTCAAATCATGACCCCCGGGAGAAGACGGGGCCACAATGCAAATCAAGTTTTACATAGAAATATATAGGAAAAATCTTTGAAAATCTTCTTTCAAGAACCACTGGGCCAGAAAAGCTGAAACTTATGTGGAAGCATCCTGTTATAGTGTAGTTTCTAAATTAGTCAATTCATGACCCCCAGGGTAAGGGTGGGGCCACAATGGGGAATCAAAGTTTTATATAGAAATATATAGGAAAAATCTTTGAAAATCTTCTTCTCAAGAACCACTAGGCCAGAAAAGCTGAAACTTATGTGGAAGCATCCTGGTGTAGTGTAGATTCTAAATTGTTCAAATCATGACCCCTGGGGGAAGGGCGGGGCCACAATGGGGTATCAAAGTTTTACATAGAAATATATAGGAAAAATCTTTGAAAATCTTCTTCTCAAGAACCACTGGGCCAGAAAAAGTGAAGCTTATGTGGAAGCATTCTTAGTGTAAATTCTAAATTGTAGGAATCATGACCCCCGGGGGAAGGGCACAATGGGGTATCAAAGTTTTACATAGAAATATATAGGAAAAATCTTTGAAAATCTTCTTCTCAGGAACCACTGGGCCAAAAAAGCTGAAACATATGTGCCCATGGAAGGATCATGGGGTAGTGTAGATTTCAAAATGTCTAAATTATGATCAGAGGGGTAGGGTGGGGATGCATTATGTATAACAAGGGGGAAATCTGGTAAAGAACAGAATGGTCAAAGCTTCTCAGGTGAGCGATGTGGCCCATGGGCCTCTTGTTTATACAAACTGTTATTAAGCATACCAAATGTGACTATTGTTCAAGAGAAACTTCTGTTTTATTTTCAGACTTTCCTTAGTGAGTTGTATGTTTACTTGATTGATCAAATGCATGTTGCTTTGGGCAAATTTTTGGCCCTTGAGGATCAAGCTCCCATTCCCAAGCCTATGACTGACTCTGCCCAGCTCAAGCACTTTGCAAGAGAAGCAGAAGTTAATGGAAATTATGAGCTAGCCACCAAATATTATCAAGAGGTTTGTTTTCAATTTATTTCTTGATTCTGTATCAAATTCATTCATGTTTTTGAGTAATTTTTTTGTACTTATCTTATTTATTTATTTTTGAATGTAAATTATTTATAAAAATTAAGTTTTTTGGGTAACATTAAAAGTTTTTTTCTGTAGTCTACAATTTTGTATCTCAACCTAATTAGTTAAATGAAGCTTAAATTTTTGAAAAGAAGTTAAAAAGATGAAATTTCTAAGGCAGAAAATGTAATTTTTCAATGCTTATCTGAAATGTCAGTAATGGATAAAAAATGATTTACAGAGGATTGCAAGAAACAAGAATGATCCTTCCCACTGGTTTGATTATGGAACCTTCTGTTTATACATCAATGATATTACCAAGGCAGAGGAATGCTTCAAAGAGTGCATCGCTATTGATCAGAAGCATTTACAAGGGTGAGTCAATGGAAATTAAAAAAAAAAAGAGGAATGATTTAGAGCCAGGTTCATTAAGTCTGTTTGTCTGTCCATATTTGTCTTATGGAAAGATTTGTGAATTTGCCAGCTGTTTTTAGCTCTACTGGTCAGAGACCAGAAGAGCTTATGCGATAGTAAGGTGTCCGTCGTCCGTCCGTCTGTCTGTCTGTCTGTCCATCTGTAAACAATTTTTCAAAATGCTACTCCTCCTACAGTTTTGGTCTGATTTTAATATACTTGGCACACAAGTAGACTGCACAAAGATGCATAGAATAGTGCATTGGATTTTGATTTTGATGAACAGTGTTGCCATGGTTACTAAAAATAGAATTTTCTGTGAAATTCCTTTAAAATGCTACTCCTCCTACAGTTTTGGTCTAATTTCAATATAACTTGGCACACAAGTAGACTACACTAAGATACATAAAATAGTGCACTGGTTTTTGATTTTGATGAACGGTGTTGCCATGGATACTAAAAATAGAATTTTCTGTGAAATTCCTTTTAAACGCTACTCCTCCTACAGTTTTGGTATGATTTTGATGTAACTTAACACACAAGTAGACTACACTAAGATGTACATAAAATAGTGCATCGGTTTTTGATTTTGATGAACGGTGTTGCCATGGATACTAAAAATAGAATTTTCTGTGAAATTCCTTTTAAACGCTACTCCTCCTACAGTTTTGGTCTAATTTCAGTCTAACTTGGCACACAAGTAGACTACACTAAGATACATAAAATAGTGCATCGGTTTTTGATTTTGATGAACGGTGTTGCCATGGATACTAAAAATAGAATTTTCTGTGAAATTCCTTTTAAACGCTACTCCTCCTACAGTTTTGGTATGATTTTGATGTAACTTAACACACAAGTAGACTACACTAAGATGTACATAAAATAGTGCATCGGTTTTTGCTTTCAAGGAACGGTGTTGCCATGGTTGCTAAAATTAGAATTTTCTGTGAAATTCCTTTAAAATGCTACTCTTCTACAGATTTGGTCCGATTTTAATATAACTTGGCACACAAGTAGACTACACTAAGATACATAAAATAGTGCATTGGTTTTTGATTTTGATGAACGGTGTTGCCATAGTTACTCAAAATAGAATTTTCTGTGAAATTCCTTTAAAATGCTACTCCTCCTACAGTTTTGGTCTGATTTCAATCTAACCTGGCACACAAGTAGACTACACTAAGATACATAAAATAATGCATTGATTTTTGATTTTAATGAATGGTGTTGCCATGGTTACTAACTGTAGAATTTTCTGTGATATTCCTTTAAAACGCTACTGTTCCTACAGTTTTGATCTGATTTCAATCTAACTTGGCACACAAGTAGACTACACTAAAGTTCATAAAATGGTGCATCGGATCCATGTACTAAAAATAGAAATGTCTGTGAAATTCCTTTAAAACGCTACTCCCTCTACAGTTTTGGTCTGATGGCAATGGCTTCTTTTCTCATCCTTTGTTATAAGTGCAAACCAGTAGAGCTACAGTCTCGACAGAGACTTCTGGTTAATGGTCAAAGATTCAAAAAGAATAAAGTTTATATCCAGTAGTGAAAACTTTATGAATATTCTTTAAAGACCCAGATGCAAATCAAGGTTGTAGAAATTTTTTTGGTAATGAATTTGTTTTTGCTTTCCCTAGGTTGCTATTGTATGGGGTTGTCTGCACTCTATCAGAGAGAAATGAGGCTGCTGAAACATTCTTTGAAGCAGCCACATGTGTGGATCCCAAGAGCATTCTGGCCTGGACCATGCTTGGTGGGTATTCAAATATTGTTCAAAAGAGAAAATAAAAAGGAAGGACTGATGTTTCAAATGCTTAGCAATTTCAACAGGTTGAAATTTTTAAAGGTAATTTTTCTTTCAAACAGGCAGTGAAAAAAAAGATTATTTGCCAGATCCTAATTTTTTGGCAATATTTTTCTCTGTAGGCCTGTTTTATGATGCTGTTAACAATGAGATAGGAGCAGAAATGGCTTACCTTGAAGCCAACAAACTTAACCAAGCAGCAGCTGTTGCTGAGGCCAAGGCTCTGAGAGATGATGAGATGGCCAAAGAGAAACTAGCCAGAGGAGAACATGAGAGTGAGGATAAAGGTAAGAGGGGCGGTAAGTGGGGAAGATGAGAGTGAGGAGAAAGGTATAAGGAGCTAGCCAGAGGAGAACATGAGAGTGAGGATAAAGGTAAGAGGGGCGGTGAGAGGAGAATAGGAGAGTGGGGAGAAAGGTATGAGAAGCTAGCCAGAAGAGAACACAAGAGTGAGGATAAAGGTAAGAGGGGTGGTGAGAGGAAAATAGGAGAGTGGGGAGAAAGGTATGAGTAGCTAGCCAGGGGAGAACATGAGAGTGAGGATAAAGGTAAGAGGGTGGCCAGAGGGGGACATGAGAGTGAGAATATACTTTGTGACATTTTCACTCTAAGTGCATTATGTTTTTCAGAAGTGGACCATGATCAGGGAGGCTTGGCCCCACCCTCAGTCCCTGACATCAAACAACCCTCCCCTCCATCTAGTGACAAACCTCCAACTTCTGCTCGCTCTGGGAAAGGTTCTGTCAGTGATAGAAGAATGTCTGCGTCCAAGAGATCTGGTAAGACAGCAATAACAGTGTTATGGACCTTTGTCTAATTGTGGGAATTCCTTTTTGGATTTTTGTGTGAGAAGTTGGGGAAATATCTAGAGGATAAAATTCCAACATCCAAATTTGACACTGTGTAGGATATTCATTCGTCTGATGAATTTAACTGTCAAAACATTTGAAATAATTAAACTATGATAGATATTTTTGGTATATTTAAGTACCCTTGTGGTGATGGGAAAAACCAAATACATTTTAATGAAATAAACTGAATCTGCCTTAACCTATCTCCTTGGTTGTAGACCCACATCTCCGCCCAGATCAATCCCCTCTTTTACAAGGTACAGGAAAAATTATATAGTCCACCTTAACAGTGACCTTCACTCAAATATTCACCTATTGATCTCCCACCTTTGACCTATGACCTGATCTACAAATGAGCATCATTAATCAACCTTTGTTTGCCTTTGAATTGGTTTTGATGTTATTACATGTGTTTGAACTAAAGGCTCCATTGTACTTGCTTAATGACTAACACAAATGTTTTACATATAACTTCCCATACCATGTCCTGTGTGTGTGCTTGTTTTGCTGTGAAGTATTGAGAGTTTCTGGATAACTTTGAGTTAATGTTTTAATTAATCTTTGATTTTGTTCATGTGACGCAGTCAGGATTGCAAAAGGTAGAGGGGAAAAAAACTTTCTCTGCTCCTCGTAGAAAATTCACACGATCACAAAAATGTGCACTTACTGACATTTTAGTATCAATGAAAAAATTTTGAGCAGTGCTGTGCAGGATGACTTTATGTGATCCCACTTCAGTATTGATCTACACAGAGTGTGTTGATGTTGCACTAATTAGATGAGTTTTTACACCTAAATATATTGCAGTGTGACAGAAGATCAAAATTAATAACACACATTGATTATTTTTTCACCTTCCTGGAAAAAGTAATCTTGTATGTTGTGTCAAAGCAGATGTCATTCTGAAGATTTTTATCTGAATGTTTGATCTCATTTCATTAAAGTACAAAGATGATTTATATAATTTACAAAGTAGCAAATGTCAAGACAAAAAGGACATTTGTTACTTATCACCTATCAAATAATAGTTTTTAAATTCATTTGGAAATGATAATGCAATCAAAAAATTGTATGACATTATTACTGTCATTGCAGAATGTAAAACATGTATCACTTTTGATTTATTTTTCTTGTAATAGTATATAATCATAGAAATGCACTATTATGCATTCAAAGAGTTTTTATTGGGGAAATTAGTATTTATGAAGAAATTGAAGATATTACATTATATAGATTTTGTGTTTCCATTTAGCCAATGTTTTCTGTTGATTACAAAGGCATTTTATGAAGTACATGTATTGTAGAGGGGTTTTGTTTTTAAAATACTTGAACTTTTTGGTTTGTAGTAGAAAAATGTATTAATTCACTTTAGCAAAATTGCTTTTAGCTCAGCCCTTAAAAATCACCTATCACATAGGTTTTTTTTTAATACTTGTACCTTTTGACTTTAGAAAGACCATTAATCAATGGAATTTTAATTATAATCTAATTTTTTTAAACATTCATTTTTAATAGACATTGTTGGTAAGTTATAATATTAGATGCTTGTATTGGCTAAGCTGTTGAACAGTAGATTTTCTTTAGATTTTCCTACCATTAGATATTTACTGATGTGTAAAACATTTTCTCAGGGAAAAAAAAATTGGTAATGCTTATTATTAGTGGGTTTTCACAGTCCAAAAAATTCATTTTATCATGCAAGCTAAAGATCTATCTTCTAATGTAGTCTAGGTTCTTGAAATGTTCTAGTTTGAAGAGATGTGGAAAATGATTGTAACAATTGTATGTTCATGTTAAAAATAATCAATGAATTTATACTTCTTAGCTGCAATAATGCCTCCTTTTTTCATTAATACCAATGATTAAATTTTATAGCAACAAAATTTTCAAAATTTACTTTCAATTTTGCAGTGATATACCAGGTATTCATTAATTACTTTGTACTTAAGTAATACATATTAATAATTTAATATTTCTGAAATAACAGGAAGTAAGATTAAGACAGACAGTACCACCTCTCGCCCTGGCAGCCATTACAGGATGGGGAGCCAGCGCGGTACCCCCCAGCCTGCGGAGGAGGTAGAGGAATCCCCTGTCAGGGAGCCCACCCCTGTCCCCCGATCCAGTATCTACATGCAGGCCATTGAGTGGCTGATTGAGGTCAAAGCTATCCCTGTAAGTGTTTATAACTTTAAAGATATTGGCATTTCAACAAGTGCATCTTCTTGGGACCTTTCTGGCAAGCTTTGAAAAACACCTATAATTTTATTTACATAAGAGCCCCCTTGGTTTAATTTTATGTTTAAAAGGGGGTCATCATGAACGCCTACTTAGCACATTCAAGGTTGTTTTTTTTTTTTGCTTGTTAGAAATACCTAAAAAAAAATGCAATTGCCATTTCAATAGTTTATATTGATAATTTTACTGAAAACATGCTAATAAAAAAAAATCAGTAACTCATTAACAAATTGCAAAAATCAAGAGGTCACAAAAATGAAGTTTAGTATATTCCTATCATAAAATCATTTTAAATACTTAAGGTGTGAGCCATTGAATTTACTGACGTCTATGTTTATAGTTCACTGAGAGAGCCCTGGCACATGAACTGCTGTCTCCAATGGGAGGCCCCACTTCTGGATATCACATTAACTATGCCAGGTTAAAGCTTCAGAAGAAAGAATACAAGGAAGCTGAAAACAGTCTGGATGAGGCCCTGCAGTTTGACTACCAGGTAACAGAATATCAAATTGTTTTACAGTTTTTGCTTGTCATACAGTTTTTGATTGGGATTTTAATAAAGCTGTTTAAAAAGTTGTTGCAGAGATTTGATCTAGGAGTTGACAATCTGTTTATGGTTTAATAAGTGCTTATTAATGATTTTATCTGGAGAATAAATGAAGAAAAGAACATTATTGGTCCTCATTTAAGTTAGTTGGAGATTTCAGTTCCTATTTGAATTTTGTAGAACCCGGATGCCTGGGCCCTGATGGGACATGTGAAGTATATGACCAATGATGTGGAGGCTTCCAGGGACTGCTATGAACGCACTCTTTCCTTTACAACGGATGCAGCAGAAATGCATTCTATATACCTTAGATTGGCCTCTATATACCTCCAAGAGGAAAAGGTATTGTGAAAGATAATGCTGTTGTGTGATTATTAGTTACATCTTTGAAATTAAAAAAAAGTTTTCCATACACTTGTGTAATGGAAGGAAGCTCAATCATAAGCCCTGATTCATACTTTAAAAGTGAATACCAACCATGACTTTTCTGTTGTATGTTTTTTACATCTAAACTTCGAATCTTTTTAGATGCAAGTAATGAAGATTGAATTTCATTTCTTTTTGTAGTTTTCAAATGCAAAGAATACTTTCCTTATGGCTTGCAAGAGATCCCCATCTTGTGTTTCATGGCTGGGTGTTGGTATAGCATGTTATAGGGTAAGTTTTAAACATAGAATAATTTCAATATATTCTGTCAAATAGACGTTATCTCCCTTTTATAAATATCTTTACTGTATTTTGAATGCATTTCAATATCTTTGAGTCTTTTATTTGCAATAAAACATTTTTTAATGTTTACAGTTAGGAGAACTAGCAGAAGCTGAAGATGCACTGTCTGAGGCCAACATCCTAAACAACACTGATCCAGAAGTCTGGGGTTATCTGTCCTTGGTCTGCCTCAAAACTGGCAGACAGCTGGAAGCAGAACAGGCCTATAAATATGCATTGAAGGTAAATTGAAGTTTCTAGTTATATAAAATGTTAATAGAAGGGAAAACAAAAACGTTATGGAATGGAAAGATTTTTCTCAAAAACTTAAATTATAGATTTTTAAGTAAATTGTTTGAAGTGGTTTTTAATATGAGTTTTTTTTAATTGCAGTTGAATCTGTCTGATTATGATTTGCTGGCAGAAATACAGCATGTGCAGCAGGTTTTTAAGTAAATGGTATTTATATGACTGGAAAAAATTAAATATAGGGCGCATATAAAAATAACTTAAATATCCTTAAAAAATTAAGAGTTTTAAGCTTTTGTCTGTGACATTTTATAAATGTCCTTGTTATGTTGACATTCTATTTGATTTGTTTTGATGTTCAGTTAAATGACAAAAGAACTCTATCTCTATTAATGTGATATTAGATGACCTGTGATGAACAAAATATTTATGAATTAAATCATATCTTTTTAAAATTGTGTCCAATTTATGTTTAACGATGCCTTAAATATGTGTGATTTGTTGGTTGTGAAATGGGGAAAAACATTTAGAAAGACTTAAAATTGAAAGCAATATAACTTCTTAATAGTAGTCTTTTCACATTCAATATTTTAAAAGTATGTTTCATCTTAAAATATAGCCTTGAAATATTCTCCTAGATAGCAACAGAAACTGATTCCATAATCAGGAATCGCTTTCTATGATACAATGTATCTGTAATGTTTCCTTTGAGGTTTCGATCACACATCAACTGTCTGTATCCAGATACAGAATGGATTTAATGTCCTTCTTATATCACTTTATTGCAGAAGAATAGTATATTGTGCAATTTATGGCATACTTTATATTCCAATCCTTAAGGCCTGATAAAAAATTGATTGGTTTGCTGCGTGAGAATAAAGCCAGCTGGATGTTAACATGTATGTAAATCAGAGTAGTGTAATATGAGAAATACATCATTTTATCATGATGGTAATAAGATAATTAGAATTTTAATATTTCTCAATTCCCAGGAGAGCATCAGTCTCGTCAGAGGCTTTTAATTACACATTACATAGGTTCCATAACCTTATTTTAAATTATTTGAAATGAATGTGGCTCTGAAAAGTTATGAAAAAATCACATTAAAGTTTGCAGAAAAAAAGAAAAAAACTGTCACGTAAGCTAATGGAAGAGGAGAATGTAAAAATGAGTGAATAGAAGTAGAAATAAAATTGTTCTACTTGTCCCGTAAAGCAATTTTTTCCCAGAAAAGCTGCATCGATTCTTGGAAAAGTGTACTTTTGACAAGATAAGCTAGGTTACAACACAATTCATACAGGGAAATTATCACTTCACAAACTGACCAATTACCCCTCACCCAATCTCATTTCAGATTTCCGTAATTCTAAGCCAGCTTACTTATCGCGTATATGAGAAAAATGTTTCAGAGTTAATTTTTAAAGATGAATTTCAAGGAAAATACGTCCAAATTTACACAGTTGAAATTTTTTTCGACCAACCTATTAAAAATTATCCAAAGGATTTCGCCTGCGTGGCGCAGTGGTCAAAGCGTCTGCTTTAGAGTTGCGAAGTAATGGGTAAATCCTTACGTCGCGGGTTCGAATCCCACTGTGGGACGTGGAGACCAGTCTTTCGGGTGAGACCGTTACCGGCGTATAAATGGAGTAGGTGTTGGCACGAAAAAGATCCATCATATGCGCTGCTCCATGGCCCTGAGTGCCGAGTATAGGACAACATTTGTAGCTCTCCACCGGCAAGTGGTGGCGTCTCCATTTGAGTGAAAAATTCTCGAGAGGGGCGTTAAACAACAAACAAACAATCAATCAATCAATCAATTCAAAGGATTTCATCGTTCCGACCGAAAAACCGGTTGCTGTTAAGCATCCTTACTAAGAACATTTTACTTCTCTTGGCTGTAGGAACCGAGCCAGCATGGAGGGACCGCAATGTGCCCCCCCCCCCCCCCCCCCCCCGATAATTTTGTATTTTTGCGGAATAGTGCTGTTATCCGGTCGGCAATTCTACATTTGTCATCCCCTGTGTATCATGTCGTGAATTCATTGATAAAGTATAATGAAGACACGTACATATCTTGAATGAAAATAGTATATTTTTCTCAAAGAAAGCTTTTGTAATTACATGAGGTGGAATTCTGTTACTGCTGTCATGACTTCTAATCAGCTTTACCCCAACAAGATAGCTTTGTGCTCATTTAATCATCTATTTAATGCACCTACCTATGAAAGCCCACTGGGCTTATTTTCGTAGGTTAAAAAATAAATATCTAGCGGTATAACGGAAATTTCGCGAATAAATCGCACAACTTTCGCCCTTTGGGCTTACGAAATTCGATCTCGTGACCAACCCGTACACATACATTTTATATCTAAATATACTTTATTGTATTGTCAAGAACATTTTACAGTCAAAAATAAATAAATTTTGAACTGAACTGTATGTTCCGTCGTTCATGTGGAATTATGTTACATTTACTTGTAGTTCAAACAACAGATAATCATAAAAAACAGTTTTAAAAACTTCGCAAAGTCGCATTCTGTATGCTATCTATTGCAGCAACTGTGGCAACATCTTTTTGTTTATGCCTTGGGCCAAATTGCATCAACTGCAAACAAAATGTCGGCAATATTTGCATCCAACAATTTATCATCTAAAATTTTCTCCGAATAAAAGTTTTTCTTAATGTCATCTTTCATAATTTGGGTATCTATACTTGGTTGCACAGTAAAAAGACTATTACTCTTGCGAGTTAATTTCGGCCTATTACGAGTGCCTTTACCAATCATACTACCGACACTTTTACTCCAGAATTCCGACACCCTTTCCCTGAAGCCATTTTTCCTGTTTTTAACACTAGTCAGATCGGCATCAACTGTATCTTCTTCCTCAACCATTTCTTGGAGAGGAATTGTCTCCACGTTTTTCTGGTCGTCTGCTTCAATGAAAGAGTACGTGACGTCATCTTCGCTGGCTTGCGTTTGAATACTTGGCACTTTCAGAACTCGTTTGTTAATATTGTCACAGGATGCAGCTGCTTTTCTGCGTCTTTTTAGAAATGTTTGGTCATGGCGGTAGATTCGATCCACACAAGATTCAGATTTCTGTTTGATCAAATCATTCCTCTGTCTAGATTTCTTATTCTGAATATCCTGAAGCCTCGCTCGTAGCAGATTTAGTTCCCTCGTTTTGGGAGCAACATTAACGTTGTCGCTTTCTTCAATTTGAATCTGAGGAACATCAAATCGAGTTTCGGCATAGTCACTTTCGCTATATTGCGAGTCACATACTGATTTTTGTTTGACCAGCGTTCCCCGGCGGACCGGAACTCGTAGTGTGGTTTCCTGGTAGTCCCTGGGCGGGCGGTCCGGATACGAGTCGATATCGAAGCTACTTTGCTTTGAAGGCATGTCGCTATCATCTTCTTCCGGTATTTCCTCAGAAGCAGACGATACGATTCCACCCCAGTAGGGATGTTCCGAACTGCAATGAGAGTCGAAAGACCCAGAATTCTGATTTAAAAGTTGCCGCCAGCTCTGATTTTTCCTGTTGTCCCCCGGTTTATATTTTGGTGATTTGTCCGCTGTTTCGTCATCTGTCTCTGACATTTGGATTAACCACGAAAAGAGTTTATTGTACGATTCCACGGACGCTGCCTCCTTATCTTCGGACAACACCAATTCGTTAAGTTCTGGTTCTTCTGAAATAAGGGAAACAAAATATTAGAACATGATTAGTTAAGGTCCAAATTCATTTGTTTAAAGAAGAAGAGGAAATAAACTCAAAGGTATCCGTCCATTACACCAATAATAGTTCTATACAGCCTTTCATGTATGGGTAAAAATCAATATCATATTCAGTTCTTTTGTCTCTTAGTTTTCAAATTGGCCTTAAATCACAACAAACATGAAATATTTCCCGTGAGAAACAAGAAAAAAGGGACAGTTTTGGTAGAATTAGTGTTTTTTAAGTGTATCTGAAAAAACAGAAATATTAATCAATATGAATACTTGATCAATAAACAACTGCTTATCATCATTTTCAGTAAGGCGCCGCAATATAATGAACTTCATCTACATTATAGATAATCACTTGTTTGTCAAAGAATTCTCGGTGCATTTCGCTCTACTCCCTATGAAAACTAAGCTCGGGTAGTCTTGCACTTAATTAACCCTGCAAATGCCGGAACTATGCATGCAGTCGCTCGCCTCCTCAGTGCTTTCACCTTTTCTCATTTTCCCCCTTATAATCTTGATATGAATTCTCCCGGAGGAAATATGGCTTGGTAATGTCATCTTTTTAATGAGAGAGAATATCAATGATTCTATGTTCAATTGTAAATAGTCCCAGATTTTGAGCGTATTTTGGTCAGTTCCTTTATTTATAAAATTTTGTATCATTTTTAAGTTCTAAAATTAAATCTGAATTCTACAGTGCAAATTTAACTATATTCAATGAAAAAACCGCGATTAAATCCCATTCAGGTAGAATTAAGCTAGGGACTATATTTTGTGGCGGAAGGTTTTTTAGACGAAAATGGTCAGTTTTTCCATTTTGAACTATAACAGTACTGTTAATTTTGGATTCCTATTTTTCCATCCTGGTTGCACAAAAAGCTGGTTTTTGCAGTGAAATGTGTTATGCTAGTTCTGAAATATCTATTGAATTATTTCTTATGAATCTTATCAACAAAGTGTGACAAATATAGTAAATATATTCTGAAAATCCAGGAAAAAATTGAGCCAATTTTAACGTAAAATTGACACTTTTTTTTAGTAATATCTGAAAATTTACATCATATACCCCCACTTTTAATGTTGTTTTCTAAAAATTCAAGATAAATTTGAGCTATTTGCTTAAAATCAGAAAAAGTTTAAGACTTTAAAATAATTTTCTTGCTTATTAAATTTTCAATGCCAGAAAAATTACTTTTTATTAGTGCAGAAAGGTCAAATAATTGATTATGCGAAGCAATTTGAAACTTTTTCTTAGACACAATTTTTACGTGTCTTTTTTAAAACAAATTAAGAGTTTATTTTGTTTCATGCTTTAATTGGATAAAAATATTGGAAGGAAAACGTCAAAAATTTAATTTTTAATTAAGACACAAATTTCGGTGCAAAAAGGTCATATTAAATGTACTGTAGCGCCAAAAGAAGCGTATTGACCCCCATTTTTTTATATGAATTTTAATTAAGCTATGTATGTAG